GAGATATCCTGATGTAGGTATTTCTAAGCCAGTTTTTATAGCAGCATTATTCACTAATAGCCAGAAGGTAGAAGCAGCCCGTGTTCATTAACAAATGAATGATCAATATAGGCGAGTCTTGAACTCTAATGGTAGTATACATAGGTTTTTTTTGACATTCTATTGAGTGAATATTAAAAAAGTATGTAAGAAGTCTCAGCAGTTCAAATGTAGATTTTTACTGTTCTTCTAAGCTTCGCTGAATTTGCTCACAAACTATATATGGAGTCACATCAATTACAAGTAAGGTTGGAAAAAGTGGTCATCTACAGGTAAAATGAGTAAGAATAGTTCATGGGTGAAGAAAATTTTATCATTGGGGCATCCAATTAAAACAAAGCTCAGTGATCAAAAAAAGATAAACTCAGGCCTCCCTGGTGGCACAGCAGTTGAGCGATGGGCTGTGAAGCTGCCCACAGCCTCTACAGCCCCGGTTTGATCCATGGCTGCCAGTGAGGGTCCCACATGGCGTGCAGATCTCTCCTGCTGCGCCCGCTGCTCCCCTCAGCAGTGTACTTCGTCCGTCTGCCTGTTCTGCTCCCGCTCTGGCTCTGGTGAATTCTCTTACCTCCCGTGCTTCTCACTATACCCAGAGCTTGTATAAATGGCATGAGTTTATCTCATGCCATTTGCAGCAACATGGATGGCACTTGAAAGGATTATGCTAAGTAAAATCAGAAGAAGAACGATAAATAGCAAATGGTTTCACTTCTTTGTGGAATACAGACAAACCAAGCAAAGGGTCAGGAAAAAGACGAAACTTGTAAGCTGACCTTAGATCTGAGGTAAACAGCAGGGGAGGAAGAGGGATCAAAGCAGGTAATGAAGAACACAAGGGATTGTGATGGATCATAGGTGCTACTGTGGTGGAAGAATCATACAGACTACATTAGAGGGGAGAAATCAAATACCATCCAAAAATTAACAAAGATCGATGTAAGGGGGGGGAAAATGCTTATTTAATTCAGTTAGGGATCATTCTAATGCAGCTGGTTATTCTAAAGCACCAGCATAGACTTTCTTACCTATTATCATATGATTCCTGTTCTTTAAGATACTGTTGCATTAATTCTTCTTGTTTTTTCTTATCATATGATATTTTCTGTTCTGCCATCCATACCTGAATTAGTAATGGAAAAAAATTTTAAATAGTTGGATTTAAATTAAATAGGAAATTTGTTTTTCTTTCATGATAAAATATAAGATGATACTGTACACAGTTTAAACATACTCAATTTTGATCACCATGACACCACAAAAATAATAGCTGAAAAATCTGATTTGTGCCTTGCTACAAATCCTAAATGCAACCATTCAAATTGCTTAACTATTAGACACATATGCTGAAAGTGTTTATTAGTGGAAATACCAATTCTAGAGTTATGACTGATATCAAACTGCCCTATTTGGATTCTAGTATCAAAAAAACATGCTAAGCTTTCAGGCAAAAAAAAATCAAGGTTGAGAACCACCGTGAGCATCTGTGGTACAGCAACTTTCTTTAGTCACTCTCTGGGCGACCTCAGAGAACCACCATCTCTCTACACATAATATGTGTAGTATAGAAAGTTTTTTAGCATAGGACACAACCAGAAGAGTTAAAAAATGCTCAAGAGTTAAAAAATGACACCCCAAGAGAAGAGAAAATGAAGGACAAGGGGGAGAAAAAAAAAGAAAATGAAAGGCAGATGTAGAAAAAAGGGAAAAAGACATGAGAGGAAGCAGAGATAGGGTAGAGGTGCATCAGATGTCCTGGACTTGCTCAGGGACACCAACACCACAGGCATAATGTGTCTGTATGTAAAGTCTCAAAATTCTAACCCTATATGAATAAAAAGTCCACATAACTTATGCAAAGATATTAATTATGTTATATCCAGGCTTAAAAGGTATCAAAGCCTTTATTCACATCTTAAAAAAAAAGGACAAAGTGTTTGGCAACCATTCAACATAAAACCACAAGTCAAAACTTTCTCTCCAAATGTGCTAAGTTTTAAGAAGGTAAATTCGAGGACAAATACTTAAAAATTATAATTACTAACTGTGGGTAGAGGGAGACAAGTGTGGGAGAAGGATGTGGGACAAGACTGCCATTATTCAATTTTTGGAGCAAAACAGGGGTAGTTACTAGTATTTTAGTAACACTGAGACAGGAAGGTTCTATAAGGACACAATTTGAGACAGTGACAAGAAAAATCATTATGGAGATAAAGGCAAAAGCTGACATGAAAGGAGAACGCTTTAGAGACAGAACATACCAGAAATGTTTTTCAGTATTAGTTTCTGAAAGCTTCTTCCACTGACTTAAAAACCTATACTTGGGATAGGCAGTAAAAGGCACATGTTTGGAGTTTTCAGTGTAGTTCAAAAGGCAAAGAGTGCAACAGATAAATATAATGTATTGTTGCTTGGTGGAATAACATTAACAACAACATTGTAATGAATAACATTATTTCTACAAGAATACATGCCATCAATTTAAATCTTTTGATTTTATGAAGTTATTTTACAAATTTCAAAAACTCAATAGTTTAAATACATATTAAGTACTTATCATGGATTGGAATAAGAAGTAACAAACACATTCTTGCCTTTAAAATGCTTAGAAATCTGCTAATAGAAAACCATATTGACTTTTCTATATGTTAAAATTATTTTATAATAAAGATGCAAACTGTGCACATAAATAATAACAGTGAGGTTTGGTTTTTGGAGAACAGAAACATGTAGAAGGTAAAGAAATAGAATAAGACAAGGATTAACTTTAGGGGACAGGGAGGAAGGATATAATAAAGGAAAAGAAGTTTTGGTTTTTTGAAGTCATTTAATTTTTAATTATGTAACTAAACTCACAGGGCAAGATACTACTGGCAGTGGGAACTCAGGAAAAGATCCAAAGGTGTAAAATAGAAAGCAAGTATTTTGATATTACTAGAGTATTAAAATATGAGGAAGAAGAACAGCAGGAGGGGATGATAAAGTAAAAATAAACTGGATCCAGATTACTTGGACTTAATTCTATAGTATTTTAAAAAGGCGCTGGAAGAAATCAGAGTTGTGCTTTAAAGAAACTATTTGGAAACAAGCCATATATTCATCAACTGGTGAAGGATAAATAAAACATACTGCAATGGAATTATTAAACAATAAAAAGGGATGATATACTGATGATTCTAAAATACAGATAAACTTTGAAGACATTATGCTAAGCAAAAAAAGCTAGTCACAAAAGACCAGAGGATTTCATTTATATGAAATGTGCAGAATGGGCAAATTTACAAAAACAGCAGATTAATGGAGCAATGATTAAAGACAAATGGGGAGTGACTGCAAACAGACAGGAGTTTTGTTATGGGGGGAGGGAGGAATACGCTTTGTGGTGATGACTACACAAATCTGCAATTATACTAAAAAAACAAGAATTGTACACTTTGAGTGGGTAATTGTATAGTATACGAATTATATCTCAATCAAGGTGTTAAATACAAAATATTATCTGATGGACATGTAGAGAATGAATTTGAAGAGAGGACAAGACTAAAGGTAGAAAAAGCCTTGTAGGTAAGAGTAACAGTCTAGGTTAAAGATGAAGGTAGAAGTTAATTAAGACCAGTTAATTAATTTCTGACTTGGGTGTCTGGATGAAGGATTGTATCACTACCCGTATTTCCTACTAACATAAGCTAGAAAGCAGATTTAGGATGAAAGATAAGTTTCATTTCAGATTTGTTGTGTTGGAGATGCCTGCAGGACATCAAGAATAAGTTGTCTAGCATACAGTTATTTTGAGGTGCCTTGAGCTGGGGGAGAGATCTCGAATTGCAGATTTGATAGTCATAAAGAGGGGACGTAGTTAAACCCATGAAATCAATGTGACTGCACTGGAAAGCACATACAGTAAGCAAGATGTAAGCCAAAGATGAAAATGCTGGGGAGTACCTCTATTTAGGAGCAGGGTATGAATAAGTATGTGTGTAAGGGCAATTAACAGTTTATTGATCACTTCCTCCTTGAATGGACACAGTGCTAAGTGGTATTTTGTTTTAAATTCTTTACCTACACCATCTTCTACAGTCTTCGTAACAATTTCACAAGTCAAGGCAAACCGACACTGATCATTCTTAATTTATAGGAGACTGAGGAGCAGGAATATTAACATTTTGTACAAGACCTCAGGGCTAAAAGTGTGCAATAACTAGACTCCAGGTCTGAATCCAAAGGTCATATTCTTCCCACTTTATTCTGCTTTCCACTGCTACACCATTCAGCACTTTTCTGTAACCGCACCTAGCAGACACATAATTGTTTACTGAAAACTTCATCAAGGCCATTAAACAGGTACTGTATGATGGGATGGGATTAAAAAAGAGGACGAAAGGGGTCAATTTTTCTTTTAAGATGTTAAATAAATAGGAGGTCGTTTTTGCAATGATAGTAGAGTTCTGAAGCCGTGATTCTGGGGCTCAGGAAAGAAAAAAAAAATCAGTATCTGCTGAGAGAAATAATGAGGTCTTCACACGTTATAGATTTACATGGTACCGCACACAGAGGCTAAGGGAGCCGCCCATTTTTTGGATGAGGTAGAATAAACCTCGAAGGCCATCTTTATCAGCGACTGTCTCGGGGCGAAGAAAGGGCAAAAGCCCCCGAGTTTTAGGCCTGGAAAAAGAGGCGACTGTCCCTAGCATCCTAGAGAAACCGCCGCTCTCACCTCAGGAAGCCCCTGAGAACTCAGGAGTCAGGGCCGGGACCCGCCCGAGCTCCCCTTACTTACTCACTTTTTTGATATTGGATTTGGAGGCGGGATGAAAGTCCTTCTTGCACATGAAATTGGCGAAGGATTTCCCCATTTTGGAGCCTAAGCTGGGAAAGTCAGGGGCTAGGTCTGGGAGCAACGTAAATAAACCCTACCGCCTAACCGGAACTGAGCCTCCGCGGGGCGGGAACTTCCGGGGTCAAAGGTGGCGGCTTCCGGACGCCAGCGCCATGTTTGGCGCGCCTCCTTCGTCAACCCTTTTCACTTGACTACCTCCGTGGCCAGGTGAGGGGTGTTCCCCGCGGTGGAATGGGCGTAGTTGTGGCAGGAATTGAAAAGACTGCGGCGGCGCCGGCTGCGCTCGGAGCGCCGCTGCTGGGGGTGCAGAGCGCGGAGCCGCCACGGCGCTTCTGCGAAAGAAGCTGGAAATTCGAGACCTTTATTCTCAGTGAACGCTATTTTTTTTTTCAAGATTTATTTATTTATGCGTACAAGAGCTGGGGAACAAGCCAGAATTGTGGAGGGTGAGAGGATTCGCAGAGACAGAGCAGGCAGATCCACTGAAATACACTGCTGAGTGGAGCAGCAGGCGAGTCAGGAGAGGTCTGCTGCGCCATGTGGGTTGTTCCCTGGCTGCTGGGGATCGAACCCGTGCTGCAGAGGCTGTGGACTGCTTCATAGTGCGGTGTTTAACCCCTTGCGCCACCAAGGAGACACTATTTTCTGTTAACTCTAACACGAGTTACATAAGTATTTCTACCCCAATTTTCCACCTGTGTTATGAAAATAGTAATTCTTGCCCAAACTGTAGTATGTTTGTGAGGATGAAACGAAGTTGTGTTTCTGAAAGCGTTTTAGTATGAACCAAAGCGTATAAAATAGAATCACTCTGTGTATGGCGAAGACTATGGATGGCGCCTGGCCCAGTTAAAAAACGCTTCACACACATAGAAGTGAGTAACGGCTCTCGAGACCGCCCCTCCTCATGGGCTAGGGAGTCTTCCCAACTAGGCCACGTGTTTCCTGAGCTTCCGCTTGGACCCCACTTAGCCTCATCATTTATTGCCACTTGCTAGGTCTGGAGGCTCCAGAGATTTGAATGGAAGTGGCTGCAGCTTCTGTAGGGACCCGCCGACCAAGTCTGTCGCGGGTGTGTGTGTGCGCGTGTGATGTCAAGAATGTGCCTTTTGTAAGAGATTTACTCTGATGACAAATAATAAATTTTCAATTTAGTTACTGTGCCAGGCACTGCACAGTGCGTTAGATATTGACTTACTAAAATCTCATAATAACCCCATGAGATACATACCGATGAGGCAGGGAACGTAGCTTGCCAAGGTTATGAGTGATGGAACAAACCCTGGATTCGGGACACAGGGAAAAACAGATGCCATTTTGACCTCTCTTTCCATCACTGAGAAAAAGAGAAAAACTTTCAGGAGCTTCACACTGCAGTTCTTTCTTATTTTCTTTTTGACGGAACATTTATTAGATTTAAAATTTGTTTTTTTAGATTATTGGTACTTATTTAGCCTGTGTAAAGACAGTCCAAGGTATGGGCTTTATAAAATAAAGAAGAAAATTATATAAAACAGTGACTTCTGGCAGCAAAAGGAAAAGTTTGAAACACTGTAGTGCTCTTCTAAAATTGAATCTTAAAATTTAAAGTTTTCCAACTTACAAATGAAGATGTAATTTGATACTAAATTTACGGTAAGGATTTACAAGTTATATACGGAAATTTCCGTAGGAAGCTTCCTCCTGGAAATCAACAATTTGGAATTTTGACATTTTTTGCATTTGTCTGATTCAGTGACTATTTCGAATTTTAGACATACTGATATTATAATTTTTGTGTATTATTCTCTAGCTCAAAGGCCACTGAGTACATAGTATAGGGACTTTCCTGTAAGATAAATTTCAGAGATGAGAATACAAAGATTTATTCCCAACACTTAAAGATCTCACTGTCTAGTAAAGGATTAATATGTGTATATGAATATAGTAGAATATGATCTTTACAATAGTAAGAAATGTAAAGGAATCCCCAGATATGAAAATAGTGAAAGGTGATTCAGGGAAGACTTCAGCAGAAAAATACAATAGCAGGTAAATATGACCTATAGACTAGAAAAAGATACTTATAATTGCCATTTTCTTACTCATATTACTAGTAGACTCACTCCCAAGTAATGATTTTTATACTACAGCACTGTATGTAGAGTTTAAAACTTTAATGAACATACTTTATTAGCAATGGCAATCATATTTCTTGGTCAGCAATTAAAACTTGGTTTTATATGTACTTAAAAATGTTTTTCTCTTTCTATTTTGAATCTTCGGTGTGATTTTTAGCTTTAAAAAAATGGAACCTCATTCCTGTGACACTTTTGTGGCACTGCCTCCAGCCACAGTTGGTAATAGGATTATTTTTGGGAAAAATTCCGATAGACTCTTCGATGAAGTACAAGAGATAGTTTATTTTCCTGCTGCAGTTCACAACAACCCTAGAGAACATCTTAAGGTAGGTGAAATACAAGTCTTGCTAGCAGTGTTTTTTTAAATATCATAAAGTTATTTTTATCATTAGCTAGCTGTTTGGCAGAAGCTATAGAAGGTAGAAATTCAATAATTTAAATTTGAAAATTAATTTGAGTCAAAACTGAACTTCTAGTCTTTTATCAATAATTTGGAGGAAGCTGAAATAACAGTAATGATTGTTATTTGATTAAATATTTGAATTCTTGAGATATATGTGCATATTAAATAGGACAAAGGATTTAAAATCTGGTGACAAGACTAGGACTTTCTTCTAGGAGTTCAGAGTCTAGTTAAGGGAATATTATGTGTATGCAACTAACCCCATTATAAAGTAGGACGGCTTCAATGCTAAATTTAAATAGAGCAGCAAGCTGTGACAGCAGTGGAGAAGGAACAATTCAGACTTAGGATCAAGGAAGACTTCATTAGAAATTGGGATTTCAGCTAAAGTCTGATGGACAAAAGGAATTCTGATTAATGCAGGATAGGAAAAGTCATTCCAGACTCTGGGAATAACACTTTTATCAAAAAAGATTTATCAGGCAAAGTGATCACGAGCATGCATTTTATGCAAGTATTTGGTAGTATTCATATTAAAGGAGCCTTTAAAATTTTCACTTAAAAATCCTTTTAAGATGGACTTTAATGTATAAGTTTATTATGCTTTTATTGGTATTACATATTTTTTGATATTTAATAGCAAATATTAGATGTATTTTTCAAGATTTCACACCTAGAAACTGTTTCTCTTCTGAGCATCCATTGCCACCTCGCTTTCACTTTTCACTGCCCTTCAATTTTGTATTTTGTTGTATATTAGTTGATGTACATGTCTTAGTTTCTTGAAAGCAATTTCTGTATCTGATTCATTTGTGTAACTAACCTATCTCTTAGTGGAGTGCTTTGTAGTAGGAGATGCTCAGCAAATGTTGAATAAATGCTTCAGAATGAATAAATTCTGAATCTGGTTTCATTATTGAAAATTTCAATTTATACTTCATTAATCTCTTTCATAATGGTCATATCTTCTCATTGATTTTTAAGATTCTGGACTTTGATAACTTTTCTTTTTTTAGTTTTATTGTTGTTGCTATGACTTTCTTACAGTGTACTTACATAGAAATTGATCAAGTTCCTGAAACATATGCTGTTGTTCTTAGTCGCCCAGCTTGGTTGTGGGGGGCAGAAATGGGAGCCAATGAACATGGAGTTTGCATTGGGAATGAAGCTGTGTGGGGAAGAGAGGAAGTTTGTGATGAAGAGGCACTGCTGGGCATGGACCTTGTCAGGTCATTTTACATTATATTTTTGTACTATAGAACTTGTCTAAATTTTGAATTTTGATGTAACACTTTCATGTTTTATTCTCCCTTTTTTTTCATTTTTGGACTTTGATACTTTGGTTTGTGTAAAACTAGAAGCATGCATTTTTAAGACTCAAGTTTTATTAATTGGGAAAAGGGAAAGTAGTTCAAAATTATTCATTGGAGGTCCTATTGTACTTTATCATACCATAACCAACTCGCACAGTAACCTCATAGGGTATATATATTTTTATACTCACTTAACACATTAGATATCTGAATTTCAGAAATAAAATAACATGTTAATAATTTTACCAAGTTGGAATATAAACATGGATTTATTTGATTCCAAAAACAAACTTACTTCAGAAGAGTTAAGCAATTGGGATACAATTTATTTGTTAACTTGAAGTTTGTTTGTATTTTTCCCCTTGAATATAATCATAAAATCTCGTGTACATGAAATTATTTAAGAAAAATAATGAAAATTTATTTTAACTTGAGAACTTAAACATTTGTATTTTAGACTTGGTCTTGAAAGAGCTGATACAGCAGAAAAAGCCCTCGATGTCATTGTTGACTTATTAGAAAAATATGGCCAGGGTGGAAATTGTGCAGAGGGTACATTGCTATTTAGCTATCACAACAGTTTCCTGATAGCTGATAGGCATGAAGCCTGGATTCTGGAGACTGCAGGAAAGTACTGGGCGGCAGAAAAAGTACAAGGTATGGGCAATTTTTCACATTTTAATATGTTTTATAATGAATAAAATACCTCCTTAATTGTAGACATTGCATTTAATGTTTTCTCAAGATTTATAATCCAGTGCAATGAAGGGAAAATGAAAACAGTTCAAAGAACATACAGTGAAAGAGCTCTATAAAGAGCTGTCTTGGAAAAAAAAAAAGTGGCATCTATTTGATACATATGAACATGAATAAACTATTTTCTGTGCAGCAACTTTTGACTTTGATGGTACTTTTTTCACATTTTCATAAATTCTTACTGCTTATTCCTCTTTACTTTGGGCTGAACTCTTAAATTTTATCATGTATAGGTATGGAATTGCAGAAAGGGGAGTAGGGTTGGGAAGAAGGAAGGGGATATGGTCTGTGGGCTAGTGGTTAGAAAGAATATATTGATGCAGTCAAGTTTGATAAAAAATTTGATATCATTGAGTAAAAGAAAATAATTTAAATTTTGGAATGTTTTGTATTTATTTTTTTCATGGTTGCTTTGCCTCTGTTTTCAAGTGAGGAAATCCACAGATGTGAAGTAATGTACTGGAGGCACTGAGTGAAAGACTTAGAATTTAAATCTTTCCATCCTGACTCTCAGTTCATTGTCCTTTCATTAGGGTACAGCTTTGTGGTCAGTCATGATCATGTTCTTGTGCACTGCTTTGTGAATCTCCTGGAGATAAGATACACATGTGATAATATTAAATCGTGCGTGAATGATACACTGTGAACATACAGAGGAAGGAAAAGTTACTGTGAGCTGAAGAATTTTAGAAGGGCTTTTTGAAGATACCCTTGAACTTTGGAGTATTTGTATGTTTTTTGTTTTTGTTTTCAAAATAGGTCACTGCCAGTTCTTACACACATGCTATATTTTGCATGTATGTTTTTTAATACATAAAATTGAATTTAAACTATTTAGACTTTCAATTATTGTGACAACTGACCTAACTATTTTTTATTAAATGTGCCAATTGGAAGAGAGAAACGAATAAAGATATTCAGTTGAAAAAGATAGCTTCATCTAACTATACAAAATGAACACCTTAAAAAAAAAAAGTGCAGGATTACAATGTCATTTCTAAGACCTAAAAAGTCTTTCTGGGTCTAATAATAATACAAAATAAAGGTAACAGAATTCTTACTTTAGAAATATAAATATTACCTTATTGTAGAAGCAAATACCTTCATTGGGTTTAATTATCCAGTTGCAGATTAACTATTCAGTTATTTCTTTTTGTATTAATAAATGGACCCAAGATGTAAATAGTAGATGGAAAACCCCTATTCACTATCTTTGATTCTGTCATTACTTAAGTCTAGTTTTTGTAGTAAGAATATCTCAAGTGTGACTTTATTAAGGTAATTTAATGATTTCTTCCTGGTAGACTGTCATCCTAAATCTTTTAAAACATTAGCAATTTTTATTTAACATGATCTATTTCATTTATTATGAATTCTTTAGAATAGACTTTTATTGTTTCTTCTATTTTATATTTTAATTGAAAATTTTGTTGATAATTTAGTGCCATAATATTTTTGGAAGCTTTATGTTTGTGTTCTACACTTACTCATGTCTATTTTTAAAAGTAATTTATATAAGACTAATACCTAGAATATATAGAGAACTGTTGAAACTCAACAGTTAAAAAAAAAAAAATCCCATTAGAGAAAGGGGCATAGGAAATGTAGAAACATTTCATTTAAAGGAATGTCAATTGTCAAAAAATCACATGAAATGATGTTCAGCATTATTAACTGTTAGGGAAATATAAAACCACCGTGAATTATCAATATACTGTTATCAGAATGGCTAAAATAAAAATGACACCACCAAATGTTAGTAAGAATGTGGAGACTGGATCACTGATACATTGCTAATGAGAATTTACCATCACTCTGGATAACATTTGGCAGTCTTATAGAAAGCTAAACACACAACTGCACAATTGAAATCTTGTTTATCCTGGAGAAGTAAAAACGTATATTAACACAAAAAAAAAGTATATGAATATTCATAGCAGCTTTTGCCATGATTGCCAAAACCTGGAAACAACCCAAACATCGTTTAACTGATAAATGGTTAAAAAAACTATAATAATCTATACCATGTAATACTATTCAGCAGTAAAAAGGAATGAACTATTGATACATATAATTACCTGAATGAATATTTAGAGAATTACACTGAATGAAAAAGCCAAAAAGATAAATACTGTATCATTCCATTCCATTCCAATATTCTTGAAATGACAGTTGTAGAAATAAATAGCAGACTACTGGTTACCTGGGGTTAATGGAGGGGGGGCGGGGAATTGGGTGTGACTCTAAAAGGACAACATAAATGAGCCTTGTGGTGATGGAAGTATTCTACATCTCAATATCAGTATTTGCTTGTGATATTATACAAGATGTTACCATTGGGGGAAACTGGGTAAAGAGTACATAGGATCTCTCTATTACTTGTTACAGCTGCATGTGAATCTATAATTATCTCAAAGTTAAAAATGTTTATTTAAAAATTTGTTTATCTTTTTTGAATATGTAATAGAGTCACATGGTACAAAATGTAGACATGTATATCTACATTCAAATAATGATTAATCAACTTTTCTTCTGTTTTTCCCTGTTCTTTGAAAACAGAGGGAGTTCGTAATATTTCTAATCAGCTTTCCATAACAACCAAAATTGATCGGGAACATCCAGAAATGAGAAACTATGCTAAGCAGAAAGGTTGGTGGGATGGCAAAAAGGAGTTTGATTTTGCAGCAACTTACTCTTACGTTGACACAGCCAAAATGATGATTTCACCAGGTAGATACTGTGAAGGTTATACGCTTCTGAATAAACACAAAGGTAATTTTATTATTTAAATAATATCAGAATGAAAGATTATATGTTTGCTAGATAATTTGTGGGTATGATAACTTTTTTAAGGAATTATTCTTAGTAAGATATAGTTTTATTAAAACCTATTTATTGTGACATAGTAAGGTATTTTTGAAGATGAGTGAAGAGTTGTATAGTTGTGAGAGCGTAATTATTCTTTTTGCATGTCAGAGTTGCAATCCTTACTAATACTTTCTTTTTTAAAGATTTATTTATTTTATACAAGAACTGGGGTACAGGGCAGAAGCGCGGGAGGGTGAGAGAATTCACCAGAGCCAGAGCGGGGAGCAGAACAGGCAGACGGAGCTAAGACACTGCTGAGGGGAGCAGCCAGCAAGGCAGAAGAGGTCTGCTGCGCCATGTGGGGTTCTCCCTGGCTGGCCAGGAATCGAACCGGCCCTGCAGAGGCTGCAGACAGCTTCGCAGCGACGCTCAACCTCTGCACCACCCAGGAGGCCCACTAATATATATTTTTGAAGATTTATTTTTATTTATGCATACAAGAGCTATAGGCCAGAGGTAGGGGGTAGGGGTGAGAGGATTCATGAGAGACAGTGGGGAGCAGAACAGGCAGATTTACTGAAATACACTACTGAGGGGAGCAGCAGGTGAGGCAGGAGAGGTCTGCTGCACCATACATAGGTTAGCTTCCTGGCTGGAGATTGAACTCAGGCCTTAGTGGTAATAGTGCTTAGAAAACCCTTAGGCCACCAGGAAGGCCCCTAAAGATGAGTTTAACAAAGTGCATTGTTGTGTGCTTTTTTTGTGGCAATAAATTTAAAACTGAGGACATAAAATTAGTAATTATTCTTTAAATAGAGCACCACCACATATATAAAGTGGAGCGGAAAATGTAAAGGATCCTGAGGTTTAGAATAATTAGGAAAAGGGAAGAAAAACAGATATAAAAATTATAAATTAATTATCCACTGAATAATAATTCTGTTACATTTAACAGCAAAATAGCTAAATCCTAGATTTGAAATGCATACTGATCATAGTTATAGGTGCATCTGACATGAAACATTTTTCCTCAAGTGTGAAGTACAGTTCATCCAGCTTTCTGTGCTTTGCCAAAAGAATAAATGTATTTCTAATACTTTCATAGAAAATTGTCTACTAGTATATTATGATTAATTTTTTCCTATGATTTTTCTAGATGAAAGAACCTACCTCTCTCCTTTCCAACTATCCCTACCTGATAGCTATTAACTGTGCTGCATGTATATCCAAATTGTATCTATATTCACTCATGTATTTTAAATAACTAGTTTAAATTGCGATGAAATTGCACCCTGTGTTTTGCATTCATTTTAGTGAACCCTGCCACTGCAGTCTCAGTACTTATTCAATGCTTGCTAGTGGATTACTTACAGATGTCCTACTCAAGTGATCATGTAAATCCTTCTTTCATTTTGAGAATTACAGGTTTTGAATACAGAAAACATTTTTATAATACATGTATTATCACAGTGTTACGGTTCTGACATTGTTTTCATTAAAACTTACCATTTATAGGAATTTAGATTTGAATCATTTTACAATTCTCACTAGGCATTAAAGCTATATACCCAATAGATAGGTGTGGGATGTATGCTTTTGCTTTATTGTTTAGTTTTCTTATTAAGTGTTGTTTTTAGGTAAATCTTTTTTTTTCTTTCTGCATTTTATCAACATTAACAGAAAGATTGCTCCTGTAACGTTATCTATAATTTTTCTTGAATTTGAAGTTATAGCAATATTATAGAGAAACTGAAAATTTGCTATTAACATATTGGTAGCTTGCATGATTAACAGAGCGTGAGAACATTAGATTGTTTTATATGAATGCCAATTTTATTTTAAATTGAAATGCCACAAAACTACAATTTTGGTACAATCTTGCTGTAAACTGTTTTCTTTTAGTTATTCTCATGTATCATGAGAATGGGGGAAATTCTTGCTTTACAAGTTCTCTTTATCTTCGTGAGTTACCTAATTTTTTACTCCTCCACTGTCATTGTGGTAGGGCTTTGGAAGAGGAGGAATCTAATACTTGTTATTAACTGTGTTAAATTACAATTTTGGGGGGGAACTGATTTTAATGTAATATGTCAACATCTCCATATAAAGTTTCTGAAGATATCTGATGGCAAGAATTATATGGTTTTTTTAAAAAAACTATATGTTACAGTGTGTGTCCATTGTGTTCATTACCATTATAAAGAAATTAATACTACTTCAGGGAAAAAAGAGATTGATGTATGTAATAAATGGAAAGCATATTACAGTAGTCAACCCTTACCTGAGATTTTGCTTTTAGCAATTTCAGTTATCTGTGATCCACTGAAGTCTGAAAATATTAGGTACAATAAGTTATTTTAAGAAAGGGAGGAGGGGAGAGAGACAAAGATTGAGAACACATTCACATAAACACATTCACATAACTTTTATTACAGTATATTGTTTTAATTGTTTTATGTCATTGTTAATCCCTCACTGTGCCTATTTATAAATTAAACTTTATCATAGGTATGTAAGAATAGGAAAATACTCTGTGTGTGTGTGTGTGTGTGTGTATTGTATATATAGAGAGAGGTTTTGGTACTTCTCTGAAAGTATAACTGGTTCTTTAAATTTTCTGGTGGAATTTCTTTCCAAATAATGGGATTCTGTGGCATTCTGATGCTATCTGTGCCCATAAACATATTGTGCTTGTTAAAATTTGTTAAACAAATTTTTTTGTTTTTCTCAAAAAACTCCTTAAAAACCAAGTTTACAAATAAATGCAGAAAACAGAATATAATGTCATCTATTTTCTTTACATGTAAACTCTGAAAGTAGTCCTGTAGAATTATGCATCTATAAACTAATAACGTTCTTTGTTTCCTTTATTCCCACCCAGATTATAATTCATATTTAAATGTAAGAGTATTAATTTCAAGCACAGAAATTATTACAGGAAAAAATAATTGTCATTTTGCAAGGAATAGCTATATAATATTGAAAACGAAGCACAGTATTTTCTTGAATGTGTGGTTCTTGGAATAGATAGATAATAGTTATTAATAGTGTCAATTATTGCTAACTAAATACATCTTAAAATTTTTGTAATGGCAGTGAGATTGAGTATACTTTCGCATTATTGATTTCTTCTTTGGGAGTTTTATACAGATTCTGCTTGTTTTAATGGTTTTTGAGACTGCATATTTTGTATTAAAAAAAATCTTCCTGTAACAATGGAATGAGTTTAATTACACTTATGATAAATCTCTAATTTATGCCTAGATCAATATCATATTCTATATAATCAATAGAGAAAGGAGTTTGTATTTACAGGATACCAATATGATGGTGTTTAAAATTGTTTTCCTAGGAAGTATAACTTTCGAAACAATGATGGAAATTCTCCGTGATAAACCTAGTGGGGTTAATATGGAGGGAGAGTTCCTTACTACTGCAAGCATGGTTTCTGTGTTGCCTCAAGATCCCTGCCTTCCTTGTGTTCACTTCTTTACAGGAACGCCTGATCCTGAAAGGTAAAGTCACAAAATATAATAACAGCAAGGGACTGGGATTAGGGTAGAATCATTAGTCTGCTGATTTTTGTCAGGCTAAATTTTTGTTACACAATTATGACAATTACTTGTAGATACAACTTCTGTATCTTGGAGATACAAAAACATAGCCTGCTATGTTCAGATGCACTAGGCCCAAGTGTCCATGGGAATATAAAGCTAAAGAAACCATGGCTGCCTACCTCAGAAGGAGATCTCACTGTACCAGGGAGAGCAGGCATGAGTATAACTAGTGTGATAGGAACAAATTGATATATAACAAATTAATAGAAATTCCTAACTGGAGGGAATCATAGTTGATTTCAAATAATACCAAGTATTTTTTATATCCCCATCAGCTAATTTAATAAAGACTTTTTCTTTTAGATCTGTTTTTAAGCCTTTCATATTTGTGCCAAATATTTCACAACTATTGGATACCAGTTCACCAATATTTGAACTTGATGAGCCAGTTAAAAAGAAGCCACATTGTAAGAATAAGCCTGACAGAAGACACCCACTCTACCAAGTACATCAACAGGCATTGGAAGTAATAGATAATAATGAGGTAGGATTATAGTATAGTGTTTGTTACATGATTAATCATTATAATTTAAAATGTGATTAAATTCATACTTTGAATGTTGAAATTCCAGCTTTCTCTCTCCTTCATGTAAAAATGGATTTTAAAGTTTAGATGCTCAGACTAATGTAGAACTATGTTATTTTTGGCCTTTCATTAAGAATAATGGTTAATAATGTACAGTGAATGTTTTGGAGAAATTTAGTATATTAAACATAATAACAATAACAAGCATTTATTGAGAACTATTCTGTACCAAGCATGGAATATTTATTTAATCTTACATGGAATATTTTATCTTCGCAGTCACTTTATGAGGTAAATACTATTATTATCCTCATTTTTGATAAAGAATCCAATGCTAAGAGAGTTTAAGTATCTATCCTGCACCAAAAATTACTAAAGGGCATTTAACCTGTTCTCTCACATAATGTTTTTAATCATATAGTCTCAGATTTATTTTAATTAAAAATGACCAATACTTAGTATTTTTAAATGTAAGCATTTTAGAAGATCAGCATGCACCAAATCTCATCTCCAAAACCAGCAGGTGTATTTTTATGGTACATATCTAATAGATGGATAGACAAATACTTCTGTAGTATTCATACCTCTCAAGTCTTCTAGAAAGGCTACATAAAGACTTTTCACAGAACCGTCAATTGATACCTATAATGAAGAAAACAGTAGGCTATTTAATATATTTTCTCACCTGTTTCTACCAACTCCTGATTTAAAAATAAACAAAATAAAAACATCTTTATTGAGGTATAATTCACATGCAGTATGACCTGTCTCAAGTTTGCCAACCAAGGAGTTTTGAATCTCCTCACTTTTATTGCCTGTAATTTTACTTCATCAAGACATAAACATTTTGGGCCTCCCTGGTGGCACAAGGGGTTAAGAGACAACCTATGAAGCTGTCCACAGTCACTGCAGCACAAGTTCGATCCATGGCCAGCCAGGGAGCAACCCACAGGGCGCAGCAGACCTCTCCTGACTCGCCCGCTGCTCCCCTCAGCAGTGTACTTTAGTCAGTCTGCCTGTTCTGCTCCCCACTCTGTCTCGGGTGATTCTCTTGCCCCACCCCCACACCTCTGGCCTATACCCCAGTTCTTGTATGCATAAATAAATAAATCTTTTTTTAAAAAAAAGACATACACATTTTCATTATTTTTGTGTTAATGTTCCTACACATATATACTACATATCTGTAGTGTGTTTGCATAGTTGTCTTGCTTCCCCTCGCTGTCCATCTTGCTTATTCATAAAGAATAATAGCTCTGTCCAAACCTCCTATTTGCTATGAATTCTTAATATTATTCCTCCTTCATCTGGAGCCATTTTTTTTTTCACTTTTTTTTAAAAAGATTTATTTATGCATACAAGAGCTGGGGGACAGGCCAGAGATGCGGGGATGAGAGGATTCACCAGAGACAAAGTGGGGAACAGAATAGGCAGACTGACTGAAATCACTGCTGAGGGGAGCAGCGGGCGAGTCAGGAGAGGTCTGCTGCGCCATGTGGGTTGCTCCCTGGCCAGCCGGGGATCTAACTCGTGCTGCAGAGGCTGCGGATTGCCTCATAGTGTGGTGCTTAACCCCTTGTGCCCCGAGGAGGCCCCCTCCTGATTTGTTTCATTTAGCATAACCCTCTCCAATTCCATCTATGTTGCCACAAATGGCAAGACTCATCTTTTTTTATAGCTATATAGTATTTCATTGTGTATATATACCACTTAGTCCACTCTTTTGTCCTTGGGCACTTAGTTACTTCCTTAAACAACACTATTGTAAAGAGCTGCAGTGAACGCAGGAGTGCACATATCTCTTTCAGTTAGTGCTTTTTTTCATTTTCAGTAGATGTGGAATTGCTGTATCATATGGCAGATCTATTTTTAATATTTTGAGAAATCTCCACAAACTGTTTTTCATAGGGGTTGGACCAATCTACATTCCCACCAACAGTGTATGAGGTTTCCTTTTTCTCTCCATCATCACCAACAATTGTTGTCTCTGGTCTTTTTGATATGGGCCATTCTCAGGTATGAGATGGTATCTGATTGTGGTTTTGAGTTGTATTTCCCTAATAAGTGATGTTGACTTTTTTTTCATGTACCTGTCGGCCATCTGTATGTCTTCTTTGAAGAAGTACTTAGTTAGCTCTTCTGCCCTTTTTTTGGATTGATTTTTTTTTTTTTTGGTCATTGAGTTGAGTAAGTTCTTTGTAGATCTTGGCTTCTAGCCCCTTATCAGATGATTTACAAATACTTTCTCCCATTCAGTAGTATCTTTGTTTTAACAATAGTTTCTTTGCTGTGCAGAAGTTTTTTTAGTTTGATGTAGTCCCATTTGTTTGTTTTGCTTTTGTTTCCCTTATTTAAGTCCCCAAAGACATCCTTTGTACCAGTGTCATGGAATGTTCTAATAGTGTTTTAGCCCGTGTATTTTTATGGTTTCAGGTTTTACTTCTAAGTCTTTAATCCATTTTGTATTAACTTTTGTATCTCATATGAGATCGTGGTCTAGTGCCCTTCGTTTGCATGTGGTTGTCCAGTTTTCCCCATACCATTTGTTGAGGAGACTTTCCTTTCTCCAATGTATATTCTTGGCTCTTTTATCATAGACTAACTGTATAAGTATGGGTTTCTTTCTGGGCTCTCAGTTTTATTCCATTGGTCTCTGTGTCTGTTTTTACAATGCTATACTGTTTTGATTACTATAGCTTTGCAGTATAGTTTGAACTCTGGGTGCAGGATTTTTTTTTTATCTCTGTAGCTGTAACTTAGTGATTTGAACTCCTACCTTTCAAGCAGGTGGTGCTATGGCTTTTATATGATTTTAGATGTTTGGCCTTTTTGGGCTTCCATGTGTCTGGAGAACTGATCTTGCAGCTGTCAAGTCAGGGGTGGTGAAGGGCAATGATTTTTCCCAAAGAATATTCATTCTTTTTTATCTAAAGATCAAGAGGAAAGGAACAGAATCTGAAATAGAAATCAGAGTGAACACATCTTGTCTTTAGAGGGCATTGGAATTTGGTTACATTTGTGTGTGTGTATGTGTTTATTTTTATTTTTTTAATTGTTCAGGAAAAAGCCAAAACAATCCTGGACAACATAAAGAAACTGGAGAAAGAACTATTTGAAGAGATGGAATCAATCCTTCACAACAAGCATGTTGATGTGGATAAAATTGTTAATCTCTTTCCTAAATCTGTAAAAGATGAAATTAGAATTTATAAGTCTAATGTTAGTTCTTAATGATCATATAAGTGGCCAGCAATTTCCCCAAAGTCAGAATCTGTCACTTTGGTAAATAACATACTTAGTTTGAACAGATCTGATTATTCTTTAATGGCATTCAACTGATAATCTTCAATACTACTACTGCTTGTTGAAATATTGAGAAAGAAAATGACATTGTAATGGACACATATATAATGGAATAGCCAGTTTCTACAGGTAACAACAGGGTTTTGTTTCTTTAGCCATAATACCTGTTTTTGAAAATTTTAATAATTATTCAATTCTGCATAAAGTATGGAACATCAAAATAATGTAAGAGTTCATGTTTATTATAATTATGTAGTATCTTCAAATAAGCTTTTAAATTACAAGACTGAAAACTTATCTTTAGTAATGGAAAATAGTCACAAGTGGTAAGTGTTTTGTGGTTTAGGCAAATAATAACCTGCTTTACCAAAATTTTCTAGATTTATACATTGTTTTATTACAATGTATTATTCTGTGAATGCACTTTTATTAGCACAGACATGATCTTTATCCGACTTAGCCGACCTATGAGCTTTTAACTAAACTAAAATTATCTGACATATTATGCCATTGTCCTTAATTTAATTTAAAGGCTCACTTATGTTAGTATTTTTTTTGAAGCGCTTATCTGGGAGATTAGGAAATGGGATTAAGATCTCACCTTTTTTATATGAGGGAACTAAGTATAAGCTGTTCATTGATTTATCCAGGGATACATACATGAATCTTAATTCTCTCTGGAGCCAGCATCATTTCACTGTCTTCTTTGACACCATTCTAGACTGGACTAATAACATCTCGCACTAGACCACTGCAGTTAAGTGTTGTTCTGCACCCTTTTTTCTTTATCTCCATTGTTAGTCACTATAGCCAGAGTGATTAAAAATTTATACCTGACAATGAATCTCCCTCCTAAATTAAAAAAAAAACACATTTAATTTCTTAAAGCAGTTTCAGGTTTAAAGCACAATTTAGCAGAAAGCAGAGTTGAGCAGAGTTCCCATATATACTCACTGCATCCACACACACATAGCCTCTTCTGCTATCAACAGCCCATACCAGAGTTACATTTGTTACAATTGATGAACCTACGTTGACATGTGATAACCCAAAGTCCAGAGAATATAAGGTTCTAGATTACATATTCTGTGTGTCTGGATAAAGTATAATGACATGTATACACAATCATAATATAGAGAACAATTTCATTGTCCTAAAAGTCCTCTTTTTACCCTTCTTTCCCCTTAACTCCTAGCAACCACTGTTTTTTTTTTTGTTTTGTTTTGTTTTTTCCCACCATCTCCATAGATTTGTCCTTTCCAGAGTATCATAGAGTTGGAATCTTATAATATGTAGCCTTTTTATACTGGCTTTTTAATTTCCTAGTAATACGCACTTAAGGTTTTCTGTGTCTTTTCACGGCTTGATAGGTCATTTCTTTTTAGTGCTAGTAGTGTTCTGTTGTCTGGATGTACCACAGTTTATTGATCCATTCACCTATTGAAGGACATCTTAGTTGCTTCCAAGGTTTGACAATTATGGATAAAGTACTTTAAACATCTGTGTGCAGGTTGTTGTGTTGTTTTCAGCTTTTTTGGAAAAATGCCCAGAAACACAATTGCTGTACAGTATGGTAAGACTATGTTTAGTTTTGGGGCCTCCCTTGTGGCGCAAGGGGTTAAGACGCAACCTGTGAAGCTATCCGCAGCCACTGCAAAACGAGTTCCATCCCCAGTGAGCTACCCACATGGTGCAGCAGACCTCTCCTGACTCACCTGCTACTCCCCTCAGCAGTGTATTTCAGTCAGCCTGCCTGTTCTGTTCCCCACTCTGTCTCTGGCCTGTATCCCCCACACCTCTGGCCTGTACCCCAGCTCTTGTATGCATAAATAAATAAAATCTTTAAAAAAAAAAAGTATGTTTAATTTTGTAAGAAACTGCCAAATTGTGTCCCAGAGTAGCTGTACCATTTTGTAGTCCCACTAGCAATGAATAAAAGTTTTGTTGCTCCACATCCTTCCCAGCATTTGGTCTTGTCATAATTCTGGATGATGACCATTCTAATAGGGAGATAATGATTTCCAGTTCCTTGACATATGATGTGGACATTTTTTCATATACTTCCTTGGGTGTTCATAGCTTCAGCACATTTTTTAAATCTGGTTATTTTCTTATTGGTGAGTCTAAAACTCCCAGAAAATTTAAGGCTCTCTTAAATTTCATTTGTGTGTTAAGTATAAAAAAATACAGTAGCTGAAATTAAACTTCTTTGGGTTATCCCATAAATAATGTGATTTACCATTATGTAATAAATTAAGGGAATAATCTAATAAACTGAGAAAGTTTGATCATTGATGAAAATCAATTTATATATTAATCCTCAACCAAAAATTTTGCGAAATAATTATGCAGCCTAAAACCTTGGAAATTTACTTCCTACTTAGAAAATCTGCCAAAAACAGGTTCTAAAGAATAAAATGTTTTCTCTTTGTAATTATTTCAAGCCATTACACTAGTTTCAAAAATTTATCATCCTGTCTTTTCCTGAAAAAGTGGTATTTCTGACCTGTGTTTTCAGCCTTCATTCATCATTTGACTAGCTATATAGTCAAATGGTTTAAAGTTATTTAATATCTTACATGATATTAGTTATGAAGGGGCAAATACTAAAAGGTGTATTCTGCAAAGAAAACATAAAACAATACTTTTATACTTTGCATGCTTTTAGGACCTTAATGATATTAATCATTATTCTTAAAACCTTAAGCATACTTTACACTAAAAATACTGTACTGACCTTGAAACACAAGCCAGGCATGGAATAACTCACTGAGAACAAAGACTCATTGTTTTTAATTACAGTTGTATTATCTTCCTAGCAGTGGCCCCTGCATATTAAGAATTATGAAATGTATGAAAAGGACTCCATTAATTTTGACTCATTAATAAGTGTTTCTAAGTGCATAATAGGGCTAGGTACCATAATTTCAGGAGATTCCTTTAAGAAAACATTTAAATTTTATAGGAAAAAAAGCTCATAAAAATTCTTATGTATTATTCAGATTACTCAAAGAAAAGATGTTGGCAATGCAAGTTAAAATAGGTATTTTATTGAGAACCTTGTCAGTGTGGAGTAAAAGTTACAAATATTTTTATATAATAAAATTCGCATATCCTTCATTCTAAAACATCTTAAAAACCTTTATTATCTGAAACTGCAGATCATTCTGATCCAGGATTTTCTTTTAGTGTCTTCCAAGGAAAAAGATGCTGCAGATTCCTATCATGCAAATAACGTGTGGTATGACTTGTTCACAAACAAAACAAATTTTCCACTTGAGTTTGAGTTGCCTGCATGCGTGTGAATTAATATCTCAATTGCTGTAGCCATAAAAATCTGGTACAGCAGTTATGTTTTATGCTTTATCCTTACTCCTGAGAATTCAGTTACAAAGTGTTCATATTAAAAAAATTTAATAGCAAGACAGTTCTCCTGAAAAACATCCCCATTCTCTAATTGTAACTTAAAATTGGTATAAGTTAATTGTATACACTAAAGTGTAATTTGCTTGTTAAGTGAAGTAGGTTTCCATGCAAGTTTTTTTTTTTTTTTGCATTAAAAGGGGAATCACCTAACTATAAATTATTTTCTAAATGGTTTATACATATGAGACACTAAAAATGAGACAAATATTTGAAACATGTTTTAAATAAGTTAAGTCATCACGGACACCTAGTAGTTAAACGAAGTTTCAAAGGTCATATAAATCTCTTTTTAGCTTATTAAAGATAAAATTTATGAGGGCAATATTTAGTAATATTCAAGTTTATAGATTTTTATACATGAGTATTTTTCTTTTTAATTGCAGGGAATACATTAATAGGGTTATCTTTGCACTATGATACTTTGTACAAACATCAGAAATGATACATCACATGGCAATAATTTTATTGATAAAATTTAAATGTATCTGTTCAAATTATCCGTAGTTCAAAAGTTAAAGATTGGACTATACTTTAGTTGATGGATTTGCAGACAGTAATATTTATGGAGGTTCTTATTCTTTTAATGGCACAGATTAGTACTTTGGATAGAAAAGCAAGAAAAGATGAGTTTTAAAAATAGTGCTTCAAGTTTTTAATGAGTGCTTTTTGTCAAGGAAATGAGAAAAATAGAATAATAAGGCTTCTTATTAGGATCATTAAAATTCTTTAGGAGGTGCCATCAATAAGTGCAAATGCTATCATAATTTAAGATCCATTCCAACCAGCAGGACATCTACCCAAATTTGGCAATTTAAAGTAAAAAGAAATTGGATGTTGGTTTTAAAATTATTGCGAAAAATTGTTGGAAGAAATGTTTCAATATCTTGGCGTAATTAATTAACAGTAATTATATTCATTATCAGAACTTTAAATTGTGGTTCAGTTTTCTCTTTTTTGCTAAGTCAGTTACATAATATAAAGTCACGTAGTGTTATCATGGGGTGGAAACACATCAAATTTTATAGAAGAGGTGACTGAGGCTCAGAGAGATTGAGATGTAACAGATCTAGGGCTAGAATAAGATTCCCTATGTGTTTCTTTCCTTCATAATTTAGGTCTTAGGAGATGGATATGAATGCTCAATATCTTTATATCTTTCTTGCTGGGGAGAGTTTGCATGAACAACAGGAGGACTCCGTTCAGGACTCTTTTGAAGGAATCTGTAAAACAAGTACTCATCCCGAAATTCATATTCATTGGTGATATGTTGGATGACTCCCCCTTGCATCAGTCTATCTCCATATATGACAGCTTCACCACGGTCGGAGGCAAGGCCAACTTCAATTAGCCAGTTCACCAGATCACAGCCACAGAAGGTCCCAGCAGAAGTCTTTGCACCACACCTGTATGTCAAAGGAATGATTCACCCATATGTTCTGTAAATCTGGTATCAGCACTGCATGACAGAGGATAATCAAGGAAAAAAATAGGAGACAAGGAAAGACAGCATGACAGTTAAAAGTATGGCAGGAATGAAACTGTTCTGAATATAAAGGGCTTGTTGTCACCTCATCTAGAAAGGCCCACAACAGAAAAGATGTGCCAATAATGCTTGTGAAAACAGAAATGCTTAAAAAATAGCAAAAAAAAATCTTAGACAATGTAAATCCATTGACAAGCATTTTTACAGTACCATAGCTTTTATGGCTATAGATAGCCAAATATTATATATTTTTAAAGTGATATTCAATTATATTGTCTCAGGAACATTAAATAATACTTTTTACAAGTTCTTAAGAAGTGACTATTTTGGGCCTCCCCGGTGGCGCAGCGGTTGAGCGCTGGGTTGCGAAGCTGCCCGCAGCCTCTGCAGCGCCAGTTCGATACCCGGCTGCTCCCCAGCCACCGGAGGAGGGTCCCACATGGTGCGCAGACCTCTCCTGCCGCCCGCTGCTCCCCTCAGCAGTGTACTTCGGTCCTTCTGCCTGCTCTGCTTCCTGCTCTGGCTCTGGTGAATTCTCTCACCCTCCCTCTGACTATGCCCAGTGCTTGTATAAATAAATAAATAAATATTAAAAAAAAAAAAAAAAAAAAAAAGTGACTATTTTTACTAAGCTACTCAAATGATTTATTTTCAGCTTATTAATGTGTCTAAAAGTAGCCTTCTTATCATCAGCAGCCAAAATAATCTTTCTGGTATGTTTTTTAGGAATTTGCTGCAGTTGGAAGCCAGGAAAGAATAAGTAAAATCTGCCTTTTTAAATGTACCCAGATTATGAATCTACTTCTTGATTGTTTAAAATTTGCATTCCTAATGCAAATGTGGGGCACCTAGTGTATGAATAAACAAACACGGGGAAGAAATACAAAAAGAAATGCTGTGTATTTTCACACATGCATGCAATCCTGAATCTGTCCACAAGCATCAGTCAAGCTGTAAAACCTGAAGAGCTTGACAATAGGAAAAATGAGGTGAAATCAAGATGGAACAAGAAATAGATAAGAAAAATATTAAAACATTTAATCACAAATGAATATACATTAGTTTCATACAAAAATTAGACGAGAAGTTAATATATATGACAGCTTTTCTCTAGTATATAAAATCACAATATTTTAACACCAGTAATTTCACTTAGTAATAAAATAATTTATGCTTTGCTACTACAAACATCACTTTCAACAAAAACCTGAATATTACAACCTATGTCTGAATCTTCTTTTTATGTGTTGAGTCATAACGCAACACTTTCTATCCCAGACACTAACAGAATGATTGTTTCCTGATGACTGATCAGGCAGCTAAAATCACAGCTCATGGAGGTGTAAAGAGCGGCAGTGAATGTGACACTACAGGCTGCAGAGCAGTACTACTGCCAGCAGTGTCCACTTAGCCGCCTGGGACCTGGCAGCCCTGCAGATGACAGAAGCTCACCTTCTCATAATCAGCAATCACAGTGGACCCGGTGAGCTGACTTGGGGCTCCCTTTTTTTAATTTTAAAAAGCAGTTGTAAATTGTTGAAACAATCCATAGGCGGTACTTTGATAATAATTGTGTTTGTCTTAGAAGGGTGGGAAACTAACTTTTCTTCAAAGTTCACCATTTCCAGGTCCGTTAAATAGATTTTTATCAAACACTGACAGCCAGGTATTTTAAAGAGCAAAATGAAAGTTTAGAGACTTGAAATTGCAGTGTCATACAGCTAAGAAGTAACAGATCCAGAAGTTGAGTCTTAATGTTAGTCCCCATGCCAATAGCTATACCAGACTATCTTCTGGTTATGATGAAATATAGTGACAGAATATTTGTAAACAAAGCATCTTCAATGATAATCATAAATTTTTAAATTTTCAGTTATGAAAATTTTTGGTTCTTTATGGTTTTTTCCCTCTCTTTTAACAACAGCCAAAAAATTCTAGCACTAATACATTTACTTTTTCACTTCGTACTGCATACTCCATACCTTAAGAATTAGCAAAATAATTAAGATGTCACAGACTGAGAATTAGGACTTGAGGTGAAAAGTAAGCAGCAGCAGAATTAATTAAGGGACAGAAATTTTATTTCATTTTCTTGACATTACATTAGTGATATGAAATAATATACTACTAGGAGACATGAACATAAAATCGCCTCTAAATCCAATGTATCTCAAAGTTCAGTGAGTTATTAATGGCCAACATAAAGTAACTTAATATTTTATATTTTTTCCACTCAAAACTAAAGTTTTAAAATTTTATATAAAATCAGAAGTTATATTACATTTAAAAAAATAAATATCAAAATGACATGGCTCTTTTAATGCTGTTTCTTAAACTATAAACTGACCCAAAGCTATTTTAACTTTTACATGTATATGTGTAATTGAAATAGCAATCATTTAGTCACACCACTTTACTTAGCCTATTACAAACCAAAATTAATCATCCAGATATAATTATCTGGAATGTATACCTACCTTCTTTCCTTGACAATATTCTGGATACAGAGGTCACGATGATAGTGGATAAATTGTTGACAAGTCATTTTTATTTCCTCTGGAACAGGAGAATTCCTATTTTCTGCTGTTTCTTTACTGGTCCATAGGAATTCAAGTCTGAAAATAAAAATTTAAGGAGGCCATTTTTAAGGAAAGAAAAGCACTGAGAGAGTAACCCCCCCCCCCACTTAATACTCCATCAACAGGGCTGGGGTGGGTGGTGGCTAGAGGACTTGAACATTTTATAACCTCTCCAGACATACTTGACCCATTTCAATTTCTGCCAAAAAACGTAAACTATTCTATAGTCCACTGTTTTAAAATGCAAAAATATCTTACAAAGATCAAGTACTCCATCATTTTCCAATTTCAGTACTAAAAAATGCTTGGATCTGGAGTAGAGAACACTTCTGTTTCTGCCAGCCCAGACAATTAGCATTGTTGGCTTTTTTTAAACTAAGTACTAGACATTATGAAGCTGATAACTAAGTTCAGTGACTTTTCCTATTTCACTTCACTCCCCTCATGAAAGAATTATGACCCAAGCAATATATCTTTTTTATTTATTAATTAATTTTCTTCTATCATTGTTCATTTTTGGACAGTATTTGATGTCTCAGTTGTCGTCTCCTTAGTTCTCCCACCACCATAGCATCCGTGATCCATCACCACAGTCCCTTGTGCTCTTCCCTTCCATTTTGATCCCTCACCTTGCCCCTCCCTTACTATATGCCTCAGAGCTATGGTCCAGCAGCTGTAGCTTATGATGATGAAAAAAGAGAAGGAAAAAAGAACGGTTTCTACTTTATGCCTTTTATATAGCTGGTAGGATAAATTCTATTAGTACTTTTAGTTTCTACAAATTTTGATTTTGAAAACAAGTATAAGGATTTGCTTTCAAAAAAACTTTCCACTAAGCTAAAAAAAGAAAACCAAAACTTTAGAAACCTTGAGTTTTCAATAAATTATCAGTTTGATAGAGAAATCCTGCTGTCAAAGGAGAAAGACAAATACAGATCTTTGGGGGCACGCCCCAACTTCCATTTCTAAATACACTTTCAAGTTTCATTTAACTTTATGTAGTTAATGGACTACACAAAGAGGTGTAGAAGTCAGCATCCATCATTCCTTTTCAAGATGCAAATTACAATGTTGGATTAGTAATAGTCTTCCAATATTTTTTCTGCAATTATTTACAACAAATATGTGAATCAACAGATCACCTTTCTGCGTTGTTTAGTTTAACCTTCCTGTATCTCCTAGCAGCTATTAGAGGTTTAAAAATATCAGTATCTTAATAGGCTGGCTTTGTTATCACCTTTACAGCTATACATTTATTTGAAAACTAAATTTACCTTCTTTTAAAAGGTAGGATGATTAAATGTTTGTCCAATCCAAAGATTCCAAAGGAAATAAATCCCTGTGGAAGAAAAAGAAAGATTTTATGAACTCAAAGATAAATGCTAACACAGGGAAATAACGGAATTCACCTGATTTAGTGCATGGGGAAACAAACCTATCATGATTAGAAAATTTAAATAGAACACACAGGCAGTTTCTCTAAAAATTTAGTGCCTGGAAGCAGGTATGATACTTGGCTGCCTCTTCCCCATCATCTGTCCTACTATGATGGGTGATATAAACCAATGCTGAGCAGCCACATGTATGTGCTAGCTTACTGAAGAAAAGTGAAAACATTTAAGGGCTGCTTATTTTCCCCTTAAAAAGGTGCTTGAGCATTTATTATTTTTTCTGTTAAAATTTCAGAAGTTATAGAATTAACAACGGTTGTAGTATCTGATTATCTGCAGTCATTACAGAAAATTTATGTGAAATAAAACCGGTTAGTGACCAGGAAATGTTTGAAGGATTTCAAGTTGCCACTTGAAGGTGCCATTTCCAAAATGGCACCAAATAGCAGCCACAGATCAGGACAATAAGGAATGCTTGTGGAGACAGGAGTCTGGGAACTGCCATGTGTCAGCCGCACTGGGAGAAGAATGTAAACACAGGTTGGTGGGAGGCAGGATGGTGAATGCAGTGTATTATTCAAAGGTCCTACATTTCTACAACCAGCCAAAAGAATGATTTTACACACCTTCCCAAGAGGAAAGTGGGATGGAAACAGGGATTTGCTTATTTTTTCTCCCACCTTTGAAGCACTTGAACCATAAAGCTGTGGATGCACCAATGCAACAATCCTGGCATTACCTTCTGATATCAAGCTTTCCTGGGATGACTCTGTGTGGAGTGGGCCTTCTGGATGCAAAATGCTAAGTGAGACTATGATTTTTCAACCTACTGTTTTATAGTTCTTGGGCACAAAGTCAGGTCTTAAACAGTATCACAAAGTGAGGTGGGCATAAGGCAGTCGTTGAGATGCTCACATCTGTCTGTAATAACCTGACTGAAGTCACTGGTTTATCTAGACACAGTCAAATTTGCTCCCACAATAATGGCGAAACAAACTGGAAATATTTCCAGAAATCAATGTTAGGGAAAAACTTGCAGGAGTATCTACTGATAAATGTTAATTAATTCATACAGCCAGTTAGTTCAGATCTAAAAGACAAACCCAGTAACTTCAAACACATTTTTTTCAGCTAAATAGTCAATTGGGAACTAATATTCTCTAATTAAAAAGTAAGGGATTGAAGACAACATTAAATTTGAAATTTGCACATAAAAATATTTTCTCAACATGTAAAATGTCATTTATCCTTACATTACCCATTTTAATAGTGACATAAAGGCAACAGTACCTGTCATAGTAGGTCTTTGTGGATTTTAGTTTCTAACTTTTAAATTGGGAATGATAATAACTTTGCAGATTTTATTGTGATGTTTATGAGAGAATTAATGTAAAATGCTTAACAATGGTTGGGATATAGTAGACTCTCAAAGAATAGTAACTACTATTATCACTTCCCAAATTTATTCAGACACCACATTTTAAAAAAATTTAAGTACCTATTGTTCAACAAAACATCAACATATAAATAAAATGATGTTTATACAGTAAACTGAAGACTCCGGGAAGGTAAGTCATTTTCCCAAAGTGACCGAAACAAAGTTTGAAAGAACTTGGAACATCTTGTCTCTGCTTAAATTATCATTCTTTATCTCAAAACCAAAGCAAAAAAACGATTTGGTATTTCTGATTGAAACACACAGTGTGCATTCTGATGACTTTAACCAATATAATAATTCATCTCTACTAGGAGATAGGCAGCAGCTGTCAGCTGTCATGCACACCAGCAGCTGGCAAACAGACTAAGCCCTTTTGATTTAAAAGAAAACAACATCCGCAGGCCCTCCCCCCCCCAATAAACCCATCAAAGAAAAACAAAAACCACTCAAAGTTCTCAATAAATACCTGGCCAAAGTTAAATACAGCACAGAAAAACTGTAACTCAACATATAGTCTTCCAGGCTCTTGGTTGAACAGCCACCATAAACAACTGGAAAGATTCTGTAAAGGAAGAAGAAAATAGTACTTTAAAAGGAAGCAAGCTAATCATTTTTCTCTATCCAGAACACAGTACAATAACTTACCTACTTAATAATTAGGGAGAAAAAGATTAAAGGGAAAAACACTGAGAGAATATAGAGGCTTTGTCTTTTGAACAAGAGGTTTCAACCTCTCCTCTTGACAGATGTCATTCAAACAGCATCTATTCTGATCAGACTTGAAGCACGAAGACATGAGCCATAATACAGAAGCTTACATAATACATCAGGACTGCCGACTAGCCTAAGACAGGGCTGATTTTAAAATTAGTTCTACACAATGAAAACAATCACATCACTAAGCAGCAATTCTTGGCAGCATTTCTTACTTTTGGATTTTTGTTCTGAAATAGCAGTTAAATGTAACAAGAATCCCGATGTGAAAAGGGTAAAAGGGTTTCTTCATAGGCTATATGGTCCATTTCCCATCTCTAGACAAGTTATACTTGAACCATCTCAAAGAATTATATAACAACTGACAATTCACTAATGAAGACCTAAAACTAATTTTTAAAAACCTACGTTATCAAAGAAATGCATTCTTCTTAAACAAAGCATATATTTTACTTTAAAACATAATATTCAATGCTAGTGAGAGTATTTTACAAATCTGTACTACTCCTTTGGAAAAAAATTAGTGGAATGCATCCAAGGTCATATAAAAATTCTTCCATCTTTGATCCAGGTTCCCAACTCCAAGACTCTATCATAAAGAAATATACTGTATGGAGATGTTTATTAGAGCACTTTGAAAAACTAAGAACAATCCATAAGGAAGTAATTAAGTAAATTATAATGTACTGCCTTTATGGTTGATTGAGGAACATTTAAAGTAACAGTTATTAACAACTATGCAGCACATGCATGGAAATGTTTGATAGAATTGAAAAACAGGATGTTGATCTGGATGTATGATCAGAACCTTAAAAATGTACTGAAAAATAGAAGGCAGTTGCTTTATGGATATTTCCCCTCCTTTTTCTATTTTGCAAGTATCTTTTATATGAAGTGGTTGGATTGTGTGTATCTATATATGGGGACTATATGTATGGGGAATATCTTCTGAGAGATCATGTAGGCATTTATCCACTGAAGTTAAAGAATAAATTAACAAGGGGCCTCCCTGGTGGCGCAAAGAGCTAAGACATAGCAATATGAAGCTACCCCCAACCACTGCAGCAGGAGTTTGATCCCTGGCCAGGGAGGTGACCCATATGGTGCAGCAGACCTCTCCTGACTCTCCCCCTGTTCCCCTCAGCAGTGTAATTCAGTCAATCTGCCTGTTCTGTTCCCCACTCTTTCTCTGGAGAATCCTCTCACCTCCCCCACCTCTGGCCTGTACCCCAGTACTTGTATGTATAAATAAATAAATCTTAAAAAAAAAAAAAAAGAATACATTAACAAGTGACCCTGCATATGTCATGGAGCTATGTGGTTTTACCAAATTCTAGGTTGAGAGCATAGAATGAGTAAGTGATTCCAAGCAGCATAAGCTTTTGGGGTATGCAGGCAACAAAGTAATGTGAATTATTCATTCTTTTCACCCACCTACCCCCAAACATTTAGCTCAAGATTAGGATTCAGATAGTCTGTAGTCTAGCTGCCAACCCCTAGGAAGTAGCAACTAAGTTTCTCCCAGATGCCTGAATGAAAACCTTTGTTAAACATTTAAAGAAATGCCCCCTAAACAAAATCAGAAGAAACATTTACAGCAAACAGGCCAATAATGAGAAGTAAACACAGCAACACATGTCGAGTCAGTTGTTGGTCTCCACTCTGTAGATACTGTTCTTCTTCCTGGGCTAATATACAGCTCTGGGAGTTACAGCGACTCACACAATGATCATCTATAAGACAGTAAGTACAACAATTTGTAATCAGAGCTTTTTATTTGAATGCATTTTAAATTCATAATGACTTCCTAAGCAAACTACCCCATATGCACATTCAGCTCAGAATCAGTATATTATTTTAGATGAAATCCGAGGAAGGCTCCTTCATATTGTTGTAGGATAGTTCTACTTTAAGGTCTTTTTATTGAAAATAAAATGTGATTAGCATACAATAGTTCTACACCATTCAACAATGTAACATATGGTGTGTGTAGCACTCATGTGCATATACATACATACATACACATAATTTGTTAAGGGTAAATTAATAATTCAAGTTTCACCTATGATAAATCTGTATATTAAACAGGAATACTCTATTTTGGCTAAATGTAAAACAAATTTACAACTACCCTTTTCATCAAAGAATTTAAATTTTGCCTTAGAAAAGATCTTTAAGGAACCAAAGAAAAAGTATTATACACTTTGTTCTGTTCACATATGAAAACAAGTCCAAATCACAGGGACAATACTTTTCTGGCCTAAAATAGAGATGTGGGGTCTTTCACAAGAAGCCTTTTTTCCCCTACCTCAACTCCACTTGTAGACATGAAATCAAAAGCTGAGAAAAGCATCTTTACAAAATAGATGTTAAGTCTAACAGTCAGATTTTTAAGTCAGCGATTAAAAATTATAATTTTATAGCTCTTACCCTCAAAGCAACAATAAAAATTTGTATTTCCTAAAGCCACCTTTTAGAAAAAGGATGCACACAGAGTTTAATCGTGGTCTAGCATAACAGAACTAATGGCAATGGGGGAGGTTTACAATGTTGCTAAGTAAAAATAAAGTAGGCTGTTAAACTGTCTCTGTAGTATGATCCTGTTTCAATAAAAATTATTTGTGTAAATCTTGGCATAGAGAAATTCTAGCAGTATAGATAATAAACCTGGTGTTAAAATATTATGTGCAGGTATTATAAAAGTACATAAAAATAAATTTCATTTTCTTTCATTTGCCTTTTTTAAATTTTACATATTACAATATTTATTTTGTCTTTGTGCTGTGCCAGTGTTTTGTTAAAGAACATTACTATTACATATATTGTGCAGGGGGAAAAAAGTGAGGCAAGCCAAGGAAATTCTGAAGTAAAGAAATTTGCTTAGAAAAGAGACACACAAGTAAAAGCTGAAAGACAGTTCAATGGAATGCCAAAAGGGGTTCCCTATTAGAAAGTCAGTGAAGATCTAACATCTGATAATTTTAGTTTTCTATAGAAATATGAATTCTACTATGTAAAGATTTATTCCTTGCCAACAGATAATTTAGTATAAACCCCACCTGAAAAATAACAAATATGACTACTATTATTGTTATTATTACTACAATGTTTAATGAGCATTTGCTATGTAAAATATTAAAGAACTAGGTATAGCAGCCATAGCAAGACAGCAGCCGTTTTGAGGAAAGATGACATTTTGAAGGGCACAGCTATGCCCTAGTTTCGTTTCTGGGCAGAAACTACAACATAAGGAGAAACAAAACCTAGCTGGAACCATGACAGCTATCCAATCAGGGTGGACCCTGCCCCAGGTGTGAAAAGTCCCCGCATCCTGTCAACAAAGTACAAAAACAGCTGGTTGCTCTGGGAGGGGGTCCCTCTCTCAACCTGGTGAGACTGCTGTGTCAGTATCCAGGCAGAGTTGGGCCCTAGCTTAAGCTAGTAATAAAGCCTTTTTGCTTTTGCATCTCTGGCTCCGTGTGGTCTTTGGGAACCCCGGATGGAGTTGAGGCGCCAACTCCTAACAGCTATAATACTGTACAGAGTGCTAAGTGATTTGTACACATCATTACTTATAATTCTCACAACATTTCTTACATAAAAACATAACACCTGACAACAATACAGCTGACATATGCTTCACCAGAAAGAGAACTTTTTGGGGTTTCCCTTTCTAGTTTGATTATAATTAAGCATAATTATTGAAAGTACACTGCAATTTCATATAAATATGCTCAGTTGTTTTTAAAAATTTGCAATTCAGACCACAAATGTGATTCAGTCTCTTAGTCTAACTGCCAAAAGATTATTACTTTTAGTCCTGGCCCTGGAAGATGGAATGAGGGGAAATTTGGTCCCTTTGGACAAATTTCTTGGAATTAATCACTTGAACTAAATCTATTGGAAAATAACGTGTGTATATATAACATTACCTATTACTGTATTGTAAGAACTTCATTCTTTAAAAAAAGTCATTATTGGGGGCCTCCCTGGTGGCGCAAGGGGTTAAGATGCAACCTGTGAAGAAATCCACAGCCTCTGCAGCATGAGTTCGATCCCCGGCGAGGGAGCAACCCACATGGCGCAGCAGACCTCTCTTGACTGGCTCGCTGCTCCCCTCAGCAGTGTATTTCAGGCAATCTGCCTATTCTGTTCCCCACTCTGTCTCTGGTGAATCCTCTCACCCCCACACCTCTGGCCTTGTACCCCAGTTCTTACATGAATAAATAAATCTTTTTAAATATGCATTATTATTATCCTGTTAGTACTTTCCACCATCTTATTTGAGAATATATTTTCTCAAATATGTATCTTCTACAGAAAGTCCACGTAGAGTTCTTTTGAGGCATAAAGATAAATAATCAATCTTCTGTTCCTTGGGCCCATCCTATCAGCCCAGAGGTACTTACTTTTCTCAAAGGAAGGATTCAACGACCCACTGGTGCTTGTGTTTGCTGCTGGCTCTGCGGATGGGCAGCACAGCTCACCATTTCCCATGGAACAGGAGCAGCAGCCTGTAAAACAACACGTCAAAGGAGAGCCCAATCACAACAGAAATGGACAGCTTCAGGAGATGCCAAATAAAACAGAAAACAAAACTTACCAAAAGTTTTATTCAAATGTACATACACAGAAGTGAACAAATAAAGAGTAGCAGACAGAGGATCAACTCCTTTAGATATTTTTCCTCTTTGTATAAGACAAGGAAAAATGTCTTTATATTATCAGTTTCTTTTGTGCTTTGGGAATCGAGAATTTTAACATTTTCCTAAAATACCGCATTTATTTCATCACTCCTCACATTAATGCTTTATTGCTTATTGCAGTTAAATTCAAACTCCTTGGCCTAAATTTGAAAGCTCTCTAGGACTTGGCTCTCTCTCCCTATTCAACCACCCCTGCTATTCAGTTTTTTCAAGACAATTTTTTAGTGTTCTCCACAAACCCCATTCTTAATTGGGTCTCAGCCTAAATAAGTTTGCCATGGAATTCCCATTCTTGTTAATTCATCCAAAGTTTCTCTTTGGTCAAAACTTACTTCTCACTTCTTTTAAGAACATGTTTCTACAAGTTTAGAGAATGCAATAGAAACAATTACATTCTTTTTTCTTTTCAAATAAATACCACTGAAAATCTCTTGTTGGCTTATAGGTAGACTGGTTTACAGAGTTCATGCCGAGAATCTACTGTAGTGCAGTAATTTTTTCCCTGTGTATTCAGAGAATTGCATGCAGTGCATTTTACACACATATAGACATGGTGCTCTTTGACACAGATTATAATAGAATAGTAACTTTGCTAATAAAATTTAGTGTGGGGGAAAAAAGAAATAATTCTTAGGTAGAAATTTATTGATAATGTGTTTTAATTTTCAGTAGTGTTCTTAAAAAGAAAAAGATTCCAAACTACAATCTATAATAAGCTATACAAATGTTTTTCTAAAATTAAGATAATGATGCTACCTCAAGGTTAAAATAAAACCACAGATTAGTAGGAAAGAAAATAGAGATCATCTGTGCCCAGCCCTCTTATTTTCAGAAACTTAAAGGTTTAAATCAGCTAAGGAAAAAACTGTTAAAAAAAACAGACAGAAGGCCAGCTATTGCAATGACATACATGTAGGGAACCCGAAAACATACATACACACACTCGCACACACACACAACAATGGCCACCATGAAAAATACTATGGCAGTTTTTTCCTTTAGACATAAAGATTATATAAGTAGCTCATTAGCCTTCTCTTATTAACTGAACCTTTAATCTCATGTTAAAATAGGTTAATTTCCCTTTCAGTTATAATTCTACACTTATGTGCAAATCATGGAGCTCTTGCAGAGGTGGCAGAGGTGAGTGAACTAGTTTGGGTTAATGAGATTGGATGGGGGGTGTAGCCAGGATACCTAGTGTGTCATGTGTTATTACTACTAGCCAAGCAGAAAAGAACAGGATTTAAGGAAGGAAAAGAACCAGCAGATTTAACAACCTTTTCTCTAGGAACATGAGTGAACAGGTATATAAACAATTGCTTTGCCATAGCAGTTCCCAAGATAACTTCAGAAAACCCTGGTGTATCCTATCTACCTATCCATCCATTTAACAAATATTATTAAACAGATATAGTCAGCCTGGTACCAGGCTAGGTGCAGAGGCTATAAAGAAGGGCAATCAGTCACAGCACTTACAGTCTAGTGGGTTATGTACATCACTTAAAAAGCAATTATAAAAGAGTGAGATAAGAGGAGTAGGAAGTATAAACATTACAGAAGCTTTCCTATGGAAATAAGTGATAGCTGTCTTCTATACTAAATAGCTGTCTTTTATACTAAAACTACAAGCTAGTTTTCTTGCTGGAGATAATGATGACAAGATTTAAGCAACATCTATGGTATAGAATTTGCTATTTTTAAAAGACAGGTAAAGAGATAGCAGCAGCAAAAGTCTCTGGGCTTAAGACATTTAGTTTAGGGCTCCCCACTCAGGGGATTAAGAAAACTTAGAGCCAGCTGAACATGGGGGTCTAAAAGCCCTGCCTGAAAACAAAACCCAGACTGTTTTATAAAATAAACATAAATGTCCACAATTTAAAGTGAGGAGGGTAAGGATACTGGGCATGATCAGAAAGTTTAGACTTAGGGAAAACAGTTTTTAAAATTTTGGTGAAAATATAACATTTTTGAGTTTCCATTTTAAAAAGGAAAATGGTCAAGAGGGTTCAAAAGAATGAAATTTTGATGCTATATTCACAAAGATTTACAAATAGGAATCCAGTAATGAACTTGCAAACCCTTTCTATTATTGATTATGATTCAAGTTCCTCACTGACAAATATTTGTGATATTGCAATCTTTAATAAAAATTAATATTAATATTTAATTAATATTTAATTAAGGTCATACTTGTTTCTGGGATAGAACTTGTAAAAGGTTCAGGTTCGCTTATTGGCACAGGACTCTCCTCAAAAGCAGTGTTTCCAGGCTCTGCTACTTTGTGGTTCTGAGACTGGTCAAATCCTTCATAGCTTCCTGCCTGGGTGGTACGGTTCATGCACATGAGTGACACACCAGCTATAACAATGCTGCAGAACAGGGTGACGGCTGTGATGATCATCTGCCAACATTGGGAAAAGACTATTAGGCCACCTTTACAATCCCATCTTGGTAGTAGAGAAGGTGAAGGGCACTTTTTGGTGAAAGATGCAACATCTCTATAGTTAAAAATGCTCTAAAGTAGTTCTTTAAAAAGGGTAGGCGTATGTAAAATATGTAAGTTACCTAGAGAAATTATGGTTTGCTTTTAATATGAGGTTTCAAGATGTTTCTCTCATACAACAAAGTCACAGATTTCCTCTACAAGTAATCTAAATGTTTGCTTACAAACCTTTTCTTTACTTCATCATTCTTGCTTACTTTATTACATCATTCAACGTACTCCAGAAACTAGAGACTTTTCATGGTACTAACACAAAACATAAATAATTATAGCTAATATAAATTGAGTACTAACTATAAACTAGCACTAGTTTAAGTCCTTTATATGTATAATCTTATTTATTTTCACAGCTCAGTAAAATTCAAAATTATAAAACAAAAGGATAAATCAAAATCATATGAAAAGGTTTTTATAAAACATACATCCTTGGGCCCTTCCCTTGGAAAATTGATTTATTAAGTCCTATAAGCCTCCCTCTTGAGACCTTGTTTTTTCTTTTTTTAAAGATTTATTTTATTTATTTAATGCATCCAAGAGCTGGGGTGTAGGCCAGCGGTACAGGGGGCGGGAGTGGGGTTAGAGGATTCACCAGAGACAGAGTGGGGAGCAGAACAGGCAGACAGATGTACTGAAATACTCTGCTGAGGGGAGCAGCGGGTGAGAGAGGAGAGGTCTGCTGCACCATGTGGGTTAGCTCCCTGGCTGGAGATCGAACTCATGCTGCAGTGGCTGCAGACTGCTTCATAGTGCTGAGACTTAACCCCTTGCACCACCAAGGAGGCCCTCAATAGCTTTTCAAGCACACTTTTTCCTAGATACTTTTGGTCTGAAATTTGTATGTGTGCTAGGATTAAAAGTCAAGAACTTAGCTTTTATTATTATTACTGCAAACTCATTAAATGACTTTAATTACTCTTTCCGCCAATAGAGGAAACATAATTCATAAGTATGTTTGAGACCCAGTAAGTTTCAAACATTTAGAAATTCTCTGCTAAAAAAATCACAGACATGTAAAACATTATCACATTTAAGGGGTAATTTAAGAAAGTAATAAGGATCGCCAGTGTGATATTCAAAAAGTTGGAATAGATTTTCAAAATTAATTTCAATGGAAATATATCAAAACACATTTACAAGCTAAAAAGGGATTCTCAATATATAATCATCTATAAATTCTTCTTACCTGCTCTTTCCCATAAAAAAAAGCCGAGTCAATGCTCTCTCCATCATGTTTCCCTGTTATCAAAAGAACACCAACAAGGAGAGCAGGAATTCTGTAACAACAGGGGTTTAAAGGGAAAGAAAGGTGATTAATAGCAACTTTGTATATGGAAACAAGTAAGGGAACAGAAAACTACCAACTTACCCCCAGCCAGATATTATGATGATTCCAACAGGAATTTGCACCCTCTCTCTCTTTTTCAAAAGAAACAAAGAAATTGCTAGAAGCCCTAAGAACAAGAAATAGAGGTGAAAGATCATTACTGTTGATCAGATCACGACGCTTTAACCAAGTAGTCTATAGCATTTGCCCTAAATTTTATTTTTTTATTTTTTTAAAGATTCATCTATTCATGCATACAAGAACTGGGGCACAGGCCAGAGGTGTGTGACAGCAGAGACAGAGTGGGGAACAGAACAGGCAGACCGACCGAAATACGCTGCTGAGGCGGGCAGTGGGCAAGTCAGGAGAGGTCTGCTGCACCATGTGGGCAGCTCCCCGGCCCTAAGTTTTATTCCTTCTAAGTATATGCTGTCTGTCCCCAATATTTTGAAGCAAGTTATCTTGCTCTAAAGTCATTCATGTTTTCCCCTCTATATTGCTGACTTATTCAGATCTTTTAATTTTATTCTTGATTTTTTTCCCCAAAGCCCAAATCATTTTATTCTTTTGACTGATATGTCTAGAATCTAAGTGTACTTGGATAATAAGTTTAACTGCATACAGAAAAATTCTGAAACTAAAACACCCACATTCTGCTGGTGCTAAGAAGCATAGGAAATTCTTAACCAGGTTATATTTGCAGAAAATGTCCCAAATCTAAATGATGGACCTTAGTAAAAATACAATATAAACTTAATAAAAACCAAAACAAATGTTTTAAAATTTCTGAGCTTTCCTTAAACCTTGTATGTAATTATTTATACAAATAACATCTTATTTAATAAATTCTGCATAGCTATATATTTTAGGGTTATTTCATTTCACACATAGGGAAATAGGTTTGCCTAAGTCACACAGCCAGCAGAGGGCAGAGCAGAACTAGAAACCCAAACTCTGACAAAAGGTAAGTCTTCCAACTCTATCAGTGTTTCTAAATTTCAGGATTCCTAAGACACATGTTACCAGACTTGGAAATACCTACCAGAAATTTTAAGTCTTCTTGGTTTATTTTCAATGCTAATCATCTGAATGCCTATCTTATAAGCAAAAGTAGTCTCATGATTCCAGGGCTTACATTTGATCTTACATTAAGTCTGAACCAAATGAAGGCCAAATGATATCACAACACATAGTCCAAATGAAGTTTCTGTGGTAGTTTGATGACAAAAAACCAATGAGATGATCAGGTCATAAACCCACATGTGGAAGTAAAGGCAAAGCAAACTAAAGAAAGGAAGTGAATTCTACTTTACATTTCAAGCTGTCATTCAGATTAGGCCTTTGTCATACCAATTAACATTGCTAATTAAAATTACTGAATTTGTAGTTTTGTTTGAATCTCACCTGTTTCTTTGCTTTAGTTTTAAATATTAGATTTTGGATGTATATAAGAAAATCACACCTAGGCCTATGATTGTATATATTAGGTAATGCTATGCTAGAATTAACACCAAGGTCCTTGAAAACTTTTTTTTTTGGTCCTTGAAAATTTTTTGTCTCTATAGAGGATCACCATGTTACTCAAGTTCAGAAGATAAAGTACTATAACTGCTCCTCCTAAATAAACATGCATACTCTATAAAAGGCTTCCAAATTTCAGGGAAACAAATAACCAATTACAAAAGTATGCCAACTGTGTTACAGTAATCAAGGGCACTCTTTAAGTTTCTAATAACATAGGTTGAAAGGAAGAGATGTGAATAGTTACTATATATATATATGTAGAAACATATCAACAAACCACCAACTTACCCCCAGTCAGATTCAATGACTATTCCTACAGAAATCTGTATTCATCATTCCTGATTTGTGAACAGACTGATATTTAAACATACCAAGTCTTGCTGTGACTCTCACCTGCCAGGTTGTGAGTACTCATGTTCAAACCAGTTAACTCTTTGGGGCCTTATGTTCCTCACTTTCTAAACGAGGGTCTTAAACTAGACCAGTTTTTTTCCAAAAGTGCAGAGACTATAGGAGGCACAAGGGTGAAAATTTGGGGGCCAGTTTTGTGTTAATTTTAACAAGTGCTTAAAAAATTTAGCTAGTATATGAAACTCGCGATTTTTCTGATAGGTCTCAATTTACAAAAGTAAAAAAGTGAGTCAATTTTAAGGGGAAAAAAAGGCTAACTAATGTGCAGATATGGCAAAAATCATAAGGTTGGTATGCAAATGAGTAAAATTGAAAATGGCAGAATAGGATGATTTTAAATTACATTTTAAGTCTCAAGTTTTATTATATCATAATAATCTCAAGGTTAAAGGGCACATTCATCCAGGTCAGAGAATTAATAACGCTTTATACAAATATTGGCATGCATGATTGAAGAGGACTTCAGGGAAACTTGGGGCTCTCTATTGATCTATTTGCTGCTGTCTTATTCTCATTATTTATCCTTAATAAACTTAAGTATCATTAGAGATCAAGCTGGCTCATCTATATCTGAAAGTAAGAAAAAAGTCTCTGGGGTCTTTTACCTTGATGAATCTTATGCTGTGCAAGGTGTACCTGCCTTAAAAAAAAACACAAACCTCCTGTTTGCACTGAATTTTTCATTCTGTAATGAAATGGTTGCTTTACTTCAAAAGGCTATTGACTTAGATGGGCACTGCTTTTGATCCTGAATGCATGAAATCAAAGGTCTGTCCCCAGTAACCACTTCCTGACACCTGCCTATTAACAGTGTCTCTAGCTGGCCCTATCATCCTACAGTTTCTTTTCATGTGCCTTTTCACATGTTCACATTTGTGATATGAATACAAACAGCTATATGAAATGTTTTACAAACATACTAATATAAATGCATTGAAACAAATATTATATCTATAAAATAGCAATGTGCTACAACATCTTGAATATCCTATTCTGGAGCCAGTTGAAATAAGAAAGTCTTTCTTACTTGGTTACTCTTTCATTTCCACCCCCTTTTATTTGCTCACTTTTTTTGTTTTCATATCATCCTTTCCCCCTCTGCATAATGATACAATCCAATTTATGAATGCCTACCTTATATCAGGCATAAATACCCCTATTTCATTTAATTCTCAAAATAACCCTATAACGTGCAATAATCCATTCTAACAGACAAGGCTACAAAAGTTAAGTAATTGGTATAAGCAAGAGCCAGCATCTTCCATTAAGTTCACTTGGACTGTGAAAGTAAGCCCTGCAACACACCTTACACCTCTCTGCCCATTCTTTTCTCCATCAGTCTGTGTCTGCTTTCTTGGTGTTTCCAAAGAGAATCTGTATTGAGACAGCCTAGAGTCAGCGACAGCAAGGAAAAGGACCACGAGACTGGGAACATGCAGAAAGAGAGTACATTAGGAACAATTCAGTCATGCAGACTGCTGGTATCAGTGGGTGTAACTGCCTGAGTGGAAGCCTTAATCCCACACTATTAAACTTCAAACAAATCACTAGAAGTTGAAAACTTTCATGATCCAACTTACCTGTCCACAGGTAGGTGCTATAGAGGGAGCTGTACAATAGAACAAACACCAGGATTTGTCCAACAAAATTTTTTTCTTTAACAAAATTCCATATCATCATTCCAGCACAGACAATAGACTAAAGGAAAAAAATATGGGAAAAAAGCGTCATATTTTATTCACAACAAATATAATTTTCATATTAAATCATTGCTGAGTACTGTCAGCAACTGCATACTAGTTATACTAAAACTTCAAGTTTTATGATTAAAAAAACTTTTTATGCAGAACCTTTAACAGCATAAATATTCAACTGGAACAGAAATGACCACATTTTAAATACTAGTCTTGAACTTAGTAGTGGTTTTAGAAAGTGTGAAATTTCCTTCCATTATAATTTGAGACATACAAAGATTTAACTGGAAAAAATAAGATCATGGGAACTCAGTTTTTAATGATTCAACTATTTCTATTAAAATGCATGATTATCATCAGATGTCATTAACTTCAACACTATATAGTTTAATACCTTATATATAGTTTAGCAAATTAGGCAAAATTAATTGTAGCCAAGTTGTAACTGGTAGCATGTGGTGATGTTTCTGTGGGAAAAATCCAGCAAAGTAATTTCCATCTCTGTAGTAGAATAATACATGAGAAAAGCATAGTTCTGAATATATTTGTTGGTTTACTAACCTGCGCAATAAGTAAATTGGTTGTAAGCATATGTGGAAGCTGTTTGTATTTCTTACTCAAAAGAAGGATAGCCAAAGACCAGATCTTAAAAGACAAAAGGTTCAAAAGTTAGTCAGGTTTATTAATCTTTATAATTAGGTATTAAATAACTCATTGATTAACCTCTTAAAAGAAATCTCTTTATCCTGGTTTGGAAAAGAACTTTAAAATTTTATTTACTTTAAACTGTCTAGTTCCCAAAAGAGTGTTTTTTCTGTTTTGTTTTGTTTTAAAGATTTTTACTTATTTATTTACACAAGAACCAGGGTATAGACCCGATTCCTGGGAGGGTGAGAGGATTCACCAGAAACAGAGCGGGGAACAGAACAGGTAGACTGACTGAAATACACTGCTGAGGGGAGCAGCAGGTTAGACAGGAGAGGTCTGCCACGCCATGTGGGACCCTCGCCAGCGGGCCGGGATGGAACCGGCTCTGCAGAGGCTGCGGACAGCTTCACAGTGCTGCGCTCAACCACTGACCCACGAGGGGAGGCCCCCCAAAAAAGTGTTAAGGTAAATTACTATCCCTAAAGAAAAGTAAAAAGCATAGAGAAATACTATTGTAAATTAATTGTCTAAAGATGTCATGGTCTGTAAGAAACTAATGCCTTGACCAGGAGTGGGACAGAGGTTCATAGTCAACTCTTCAGGAAAAGAGCTTAAATGGGAGATGCAGTTACAATACACTATTCTAAAGTTTTCCCATTTTGATTTCCTCATACTAACTCATGAGTATCTAAATTCCAGTCATTCTTACTTCAATCAATATACATTGCCCACCTTAAGACTGCTTTGTGTTCCTTATATTTAAAAACATTACATTGCTATTCCATTTACACCATGGCCAGCAAACTATCCTGGTTAGTTTTCTGCCTTCCCCCCACCCCCGCAATGTTAATTAAAATGTATAGTCTCTCTCTCCCCAGATTGCCTTCTTATCAGTGGGCACAGATTTTAAGAATATGCAAGTTTAGGGCCTCCCTGGTGGCTCAGGTGGTTGAGCGACGCAATGTGAAGCTGTCCGCAGCCTTGGCAACGCGGGTTCAATCCCGGCCCGCCAGCGAGAATCCCACATGGCAAAGCAGACCTCTCCTGTTTTGCCTGCTCTCCCCTCAGCAGTGTATTTTGTCAGTTACCCTATTTTGTCAGTTACCCTATTTGTCAGCGCTGTCTCTGGTGAATCCGCTCACCCTCCCGCACATCTGGCCTGTACCCTGATTCTTGTATAAATAAATAAATCTTAAATAAAAAAAATTAAAAAAGGAATATGCAAGTTTAATTTCCTAAAATTACTCTAATTATGCATATATTTGTTGCCAATATACATGTTCATCCCCACCTCTGTTCTTTTAACAGTAAAAAGTTTTTTTTTCAGCCAGAATGTTTGAATTCAATGGCGACTTGATCTTTAAGATAATCTAGTTGTCAAGTATTTATGTATTTAGTTTGAAGTAGATACATTCAAAAAGTTTCACTAACATTAAATGGGTAGTTGGCCGTGATCCCGAAGATCCCTTCCAACCCCAGACTTCTATAGCAAGTGGTATTTGTATAGTGATTTGCCAACTGCAGAATGCTTTCCATACATACCGTCTTACGTTATCTTTAAAACAGTTCAGGAAAATAGGTAAAATGTATCTCTATTTTAAGAGATAATGAATCTCTATAAGAGCAAATGAATCTTAGCAAGATTGAGGTAATAGATAATAGAAGTAGTTTATGATACATATCTTGAAGTCAAATCCAACTCTGACAAAATCTCCTATTTTGTCTGCTATACAATCTAACTCTCAACTGGAAAGACAGAACTCAGAAGCCTGTTGTATTTTATGGGGAGGCTTCAGCTTTCTCTGTTGCATAATAAATCAGATTTTTAAATCCCTAACTTTCTGTTATCAAGCTATTCTCAAATTCATTCCGTAGTTTTCATTCATTTTATACTGCAACACACTTACCAAGGAGACCAGGCTGATAATACTTATATCAAAACTAACATTCTGGATGGCATATGCCAATGGCTTAGGGTCCATAGTGGGGAAGGTCAGTAACCAGGCAGAAACGTACATGATTGGAGCAGACACAAATGTGCTTATTACCATCCCTGAGGTTATCTGCAAAAATGATGTCAAAGTGAATCACACTCTCATTTAGACAATTACCTTAAAATTTAAATAGCCAGAACATATTAAGGCATTCAAAAATAAAAACAAGAGCCAGAAAAAGGAGATTTAGAATCCAGAATATTATCAAATACTCCCCTTTCCTTAGAGTCCTTAAAAGAAAACATAGTTAAGTTTCCTTGGAAGCTCTTCTAAGCTAAGCTCAAGTTATATTAGTATATAATAGAGACATTCACTGCTGATGGTTATCTTCCAGGTTGTAGAAAGTAAATAATATCAGTGATCTAATGAAACCAATGTCCAGTTTCCTTCTATGCTATTTCATAAAATAGAAGGCAATGAAAGCAATTCAAAAAGAGAAAAAGTGAATGTCAATATTTTATAGATTAAGTAACGAAACTGACCTTCATCAAGCAATTTTAGCTCCTTCATATTATGTTTTAAAAACATTGAGTCTGATGAGGCAGATAACAAGTATAGTTAGTGCTTAGACACTAGCAACTTGGTGTTAAATGTTATTTTAGTTATTTAAAACAATTGATTATATGGTGCTTTGCATTTGGTGATTGATTAAACACATTTTTCTCCTCAAAATTTCAAGTTACCTTTCTGTAAATAACTTTTAGGCTTAATTATAAATACAGCAATAATATACTTGAAAACAAGAAAGATTAATGAATAAAATCATGGCTAAGTAAAGATCCTAGATTAAATAACTCTATTGTTGAATGATGCCTCCTTACTTATAATGAGGTAGTTTACAGACATCAAATTGTCCAAAAAGAAAGCTGATTCTAAGGGTCAGAAAAAAGACAAAATTTGCAAGCAGATCATATCTGAGGCATCCAGGGAAGAGCCAAGGGAGAGGTCAAAACAGGGGAGGGAAGAGAACAAGGGACTGTGGTGATGGTCACGGGTGCTATGGTGGTGGGAGAACTATGGGGACTACACCTGAGGGGAGAAATCAGATACTGTCCAAAAATTAACAATGATGTAAGAAAATACATAAATAAATTTATGAAAAATAAATAATGTAACTAACAAAAATGCAGATTCCTGTGTTTAAAAAATTAATTTTTCTGCTAACCACACAAACAATCAAACTTAGAAAGCAGTATATACATACAATCTCTACTTCCATGTTGAACTGTGTTGCAAAGATAGCCACTCCTGGTGCTACAGGAAAGACACCATACAAGAATGCATAATTCGATAAACTTGTATGGTTCACTACACTGTCGCCCTTGTCCAAGAGTTCCACCATTTCTCTGCATAGAAGTGGCAGCACCAGGCTGAAGAAACAAGAAATGCATTATTCACTTGATATCAAAGCATGCTGGTCCTTAAGTAGTAGATTGCTTTAGTAAACTTGGCACTAGGTCATTCTTCTCTACCCAGGAGGTATTATCTATTTGCACACACACATATGTTCTGCATGCCAAATGAGGGTTCTTTGTTGTAAGAATCAAGAATTCAACTCGGAACCATTTAATGTGGAACAATACTCTAGAAATACTTCAAACATAAGGGATTAGGAGAAAAAAGAGGACTGTTTTACAAAAAATTATTTTACAAATAATCTTCTTTTTTGGAAATACTTGTTTGTTTTTTTAAAGATTTATTTATTTATACAAGAACTGGGGTACAGTCAGAGGCGTGGGAGGGTGAGAGAATTCACCAGAGACAGAGCAGGGAATAGAACAGACAGACAGACCAAAGACACTGCTGAGGGGAGCAGCGGGTGAGGCAAGAGAAGTCTGCCACACCATGTGGGTTTCTCCCTGGCCAGCCGGGAATCGAACCCACGCTGCAGAGGCTGTGGACAGCTTCACAGTGTGGCGTTAAACCCACTGCACCATGGGGAGGCCTGAAATATTTGGTTTTTTTTTTTCATTTTATGTCCAAAGATCTAGCACTGTTTCTGCTGTAAGATAGATGTCTTGGATGACCAATTCAAGAAAGTTCACTTAGTTCAACTTAAATGAAGCCCATATCCTTCGCATATTGCCAGAAGCATTGGTGGCACATATTGAGGCGTTTATTTCTGGATTAGACTATGTGGATTTGGACAGGTGCAGCAATCCTGTCCAGATGGCACCAGATGGTGGTGACCCATCTTGCTTTCTCTGAGACACAAGGCAAAAGGAAGCAGCCATACAAATAGTTTTCTTGCAAAAAAATTGTGAAAAATTATATCTGCTTTCTTTATTAGATCATTGAAAGTGAAAAGAAAAAAAGATCAACTTTTTTCCAAGAAAATTACTTTTTGAAAAAAAATTGATCTTTATGTATTTTAATTAGGGATTTAAACAGTTCAGGTAATAAGAATGTTGCTCAATTAAATTCTAATACCAGTAGAAAAGTTGGTATCTTACAATTAACTCTTCATCTTTGTAAAGACAAAAAGGTTCGGCAAAGAGAACTGGAATAACTGAGGCAGAACAGAAAATTCATGAAATTCTGACTGGGTGAAGAGTCAATTAAACAAATCCTTCAGGATTCCATAGAAAGAGCTTATTAACAGTAGCTGAGCTAATGGAGCTTTCCTTTAAAAAGAACAAAATTGATAGCTTTGTCATAGTAGCACCCACAGAGACCCACCAGGACAGAGTAAAGAACTACTCTTCTATGTATTTTTCAATGTAAAAAAAGATGAAAATATCTAATAAAGATAAAAGACCCAGGAGAAAAGACTTAAAAAATGGGATATTTAAATTTTACTTATAAGTTGAAGTTGATAATATTATTGTAGAGCCATATTTACTACTGTGGCAATGCTAATCAATACTTTATTTCCAAAGAGCATAATACCACCATAACAATTTTCAGAACTTTCATTTTTATCATTTTGAAAATATAAACACTATTTCATATTGCACTGGTTTCATGAATTTAACTATATATGCCAGAGCTAAATTCAATAATTAAGTATGCCTCAAGTGCTTTGTGCTAATCTAGCAGTAAAATTATGTCACCTGTACCATAAAGTATAATTCCATGATTAATGAACTAAGTAAGCTGAAGAACTGTAAACAATTGAGTTGGTAAGAACTTTTTATTTGACAGGATAGGATCAGATGGTTGATAAGAATCATTCATAATGACTTACCTATATTTAAAAAGCTCAACCACCCTCAGAATTACAGAATATTTCTCCCAAACTCATGAAAAAATGTTTATATATAAAATTATTATTCTCATAACAAGCTACTTTAGGACTTTAATCGATTTAGAAAACTCAGAAATCTTGCAAAATCCCTTTAAAATATGATCAAACCAGAACATTAGGAGATACTAAGTTATATTAAATTCAAGGAAAGCCAATAGTCCTTGTCTCCTGACAGTAAAATGGAAAGAACAATCTACCAACATCACAGTTTCTTTTAAATCACAATTACTCAATTAGGAGGTCTATTATTATCTGACTATTTAAAGAAGAAAATAGTTGCAAACATAACCCAACGAACTGGAAGGCTTCCACAAAGTACAGTCCCCAAGATAAATAAGTGAAACTTACAGTTTTGCTGTGATGAGAAGAATCAGGACAACAAATGTTGACTTCTTTAGTTTCTTTATTTTTCCTACCATTGTAAGACCAAGATAAAATAGGGCTGATCCAGAAAAAGAATTTGCAAGTCCGTCAAGAAAATTTTCCATATATACGGGCACCTTTTGATCAAGAATAAAATTGAAGGCTATGCCAATGAAAACCATAAATACTATTGGGTTCTGCAATACACGTAGAAGTCCAAGTCCCACGATTTTTACTTTGTTTTGAGAAGCATTTTGAGTGTCTTTCCACTTCTGGATTTCACAGAAGATAAACCCTATAGGGTTTAACATCATAAGAGATACTGGTGCCACCAAATAAATATACTGAAGATATTCTGGATATGTAGTTTGATACAAAGCTTCAACTGCAAAACAAGGATTAAAATGGACTTTTAAGTGACCACCATAGAAATACATTAATATATTATGATATAATGTTTTCAGGGCTAAATTACAACATATTTTAAATTAATGTAAATAGTACAGAATGATGCTCATAGCCTACTTTTAGAAAATGCGCACTTTAGAAATAAAGCTGAAATGGAAGAAAAAACTATATTAATAACGTTTAGCATATAAAATGATAACCAAAGTTAAAATATTTTTAGTAAAACCTTCCTAATTTTTACTATCCAGTAGTAACAGCAACAAGCTGGTTGTTAATTCCCTTGAGAGAGGGTCTCATTGGAGTGGAGACGCAAAAGTCAGAGTACAGAGGGTTGGGGAGTGAGCTGGAAACAATGAATGAACAAATAGGCACTGAAATGATGGGGTCCAAGCTATACAAGAAAAGATGTGAAGATGGGGGACAGCTGATGGAAATTACAGGGGTCAGAGACTAGAGGTCCCTATGAAATCCAAGATTTATGTGTAGTTGGAAGTTTAGGAATTTGGAATACATCAGCTGGTAAGCTACTGAATTTAGTATTTCCCAGAAGACTAGATCCAAGATGAGGCCATGGGAGTTGGCGGCTGAAGCGGTATAGATGTAAACATCACTGGAGATGAGGAGGCCCCGGAACCAGGAGGGCAGAGAATTTGATATGTAGTGCACATGGATGCTAAGGTCGAACAAAAAAAGGGCAAAACTTGGGAATATAGAAGATGAAAGTGAGCCGGATGTTGAAGTCTCCAGTGAATGAGGAGGGATGACTAGACTGAGGCCAGCAGATAACAGAAATGAAGATCAGAGGTCTAGCCAAGCAGCATGAACCTCAAGGTGCAGTTTTTACCAAAAAAGCAGAGAATGATGCCCTAGCAGTGGTACTGGATGGCCAAGGCAGATGCCAGTCCTGCCTCCCACTGCTCATGTAGTTTGCAGGTGATGAGAAAATGAGCAGTCTCCATTTGAGAGGAATGAAAGGCTGTGAATGCCTTCAGAAAAGACCAGTGAAGATGCTGAGGAAGGGATGGAAAGGTGGAAATAAGAAAAGGAAGGGATTACACTAGAGTCATGTAGATGCAAATTTATCTAACCTGAATTCAAATACACTTTTAGGAAAACAAAAGCGTCATTCTTTCCATAAAGCATGTTCCCAAATGCAAACTAATTACATCACTTGTTCACTGAAGAACACGGCTCTATTAGACTTAGTGATGTGGTCCAATACACACGAAGTATGTGTGCTGTATTTTATGGGTGACTAAAGGGATTTTTCAAGGGTTTGACTATACACGATAACTTCAGAACCTAATCACTGCTTAAGATGAGTTTCCTTGGTGGGTTGGATCAGACTTCTAGCAATTTTTTGGTGAATGTGAGGATTGGTAGCCTGTTCTTATGTGGAGTGTGGCAACTTAGAGTATTGGAGTAAGCAAACTGGTCTCTACACATTTTTTGGCAATGAGTTCTGAAATTATTTAACCTAATACATGTAAAGGCTTATTCATAAATAATTAGAGGTTGAGAAAGATAAAAAAAGAACAGCCGTAATCACAAGGAGAGAAGCAATCATGTGAAAAAATGTAAAAGATTAGGTTTCTCAATTTACATTAAGATAAAGTGACACAGGTAGGAAAATATATTTGTTTACTTACTCAGGATAGGTTAAGTTCAGTTAATGTCATGCACATGTCTCGTTGAGTTATATAACTAGTTATATAAGATTTAGAATTCACCTTGTTCTCATTAGCTAAAACCTACTTTTTATACAATTCCAATCCTTTTTTCTTTCGGCTAAGCATATACAGAGGTCTATAATATTGCCAAAATGAAGCAGCGGTTGAACAAAACATATCTGATTACATAAAATTTCACAAATTCTTTCCACTGATAGCCAAATTCCATACATTAACCCTGTAACTTTTAGTGGTTTCCTTTCATGTTTTATAAGGTTTCATCTTAAAAGTAAAAAAAAAAAAAAAAAAGGCAGCATTTTTAAATTGATTTGCCCCTTGTATACAAAACTACATCATTCAGGGAGTATAACTTCACATCTCAATGTGTGCACATAAAAAAGCAGCACGTTTTGGTAACTATTTCTCCATAGCTATGCTTCTGCTGATTAGACATTCTATCTCCAAGGGAAAGCCATCCATATCTGCGCACCACTAGTTTTTAAAATAGAGAGTATATTTTTTGAAAAGCACAAGAATTTTCTCAAGTGGCCAAACTAAAATGCTTCAGGTCTTTCCTTTGACAAAGTACAGTGCACAATACCTCTTAAGTTAATGCCTTTCCCCCAGAAATTTACATTCCCAGCATAGTAGCACTTAATCACCATCATATAAAGGACACGAGAATGTTTTAAAAGCTCGATGCATATTTGAGAAATCGTATTTATTACATGTGACAAGTTCTTTCTTTTGCAGAATCTTTCATGTTTTCTACCTGCAATGACTAAGTCAAAAATCTCAAAATTGAAATGAGTTTACGTACCTGAATTTTTTTTGTTTTTTTCTTGACCAGCTCAACTACTTTATTAATTGCTGACAATATTATCTAAATTTTAATTTTTAAAAATTAAGGTTTTCCCACAGCTCTCACTGCTCACAAGAAAAACTGTGAAAGCTTCACTTTGACTCTTACAGGTCAGTCTTCACTACTGGTCTAGTTTATCTACCTCATCTATTTTTTTTTTTAATACTGATTGATTTGTGCATTTTTTTTTAAATTTATACAAGCACTGGGTACAGTCAGAAGCGCGGGAGGGTGAGAGAATTCACCAGAGCCAGAGCGGGGAGCAGAGCAGGCAGACTGAAGTACACTACTGAGGGGAGCAGAGGGCGGCAGGAGAGGTCTGCGTGCCATGTGGGACCCTCCTCAGGTGGCCGGGGAGCAGCCGGGGATTGAACAGGCGCTGCTGAAGCTGCGGGCAGCTTCGCAACCCAGCGCTCAACCGCTGCGCCACCGGGGAGGCCCACCTCATCAATTCTTTAATGTAAAGCCTCCTCAGCCACTTTAATGTCATTTGCATAGGACAAACTACAGATTAATAATTACTAGTTCTACAAGCTTATCATCCCCTGTATTCTTGAACTCTCTCCTTTCTTATCTGAGCCTCACCTACTAGTTAAGGTCTGTCTCTGGTACCACTTCTTCCACCAAGTCTTCAGTCCCCTTCTTTGGGTTGCTCTGGTAACTTGGTAACTTGTTTCATGTTATTGCTACCTCAAGAGTTTACTTTTTTTTTTTTTAAAGATTTATTTATTAATGCATACAAGAACTGGGGTACAGGCCAGAGGTGTGGGGGGGTGAGAGGATTCACCAGAGACAGAGTGGGGAACAGAAAAGGCAGAGTTTACTTCTTGGAGGCACTCTTTTATAAGGCCCAGCACAGGGTTGAGCAAATCTGAAGATACTTGCTGAATGGGATTAACTAACACATCCAAGGCTTCAGTCATAGTAAAAATGTATTTTGTAACAGCAATTTATATTTAATTGTTATTCATTAGGCCATTTCTTTTTTAAATCGAAATTTTTTCATATTCTAGATATTTATAAAGCAAGTTACTAAAGGGGTATTTAAAGTCAGTGGAACAAGTATGTGAAGGCATAAACAAATACTTGTTAAATTACTGTAATAGGGTTCAAATGAAATTTCAGTCCATTTCTGACATTCATTTGCATAATTACTTAATATTACACATTTGTCTGTAAATTGACAGTGCATTTTTTATTATGGGCCTGAAGATGGTTTTACAAATATGAAGGCAGTGACCTAAATCAACAAATTAGATTTATAATCATTATATCAACTATTAAGTTCTAATTAATTAATACTTATAAATAAGGTGGGGGGGAGAATCCCAACGATGAGGAATTATTATATAGCTTTGAAGAACTAAAAGACAAAATTAGCCACCTACTGTGGCTCCTATTTTGATTCCTGCAGGGTTTCAATCCCTAGCAAATAACACGAAGACCCAGACAAGATCATTCTATTATTTAATGGCATATAGTTAAATGCTTCATTTCCTTTGTTTACAGTCCTAGCACTAGAACATAATTATGATTAGTCAGGGTACTTATGCTATCAGCATTGTTTGAAGAATAAATTATAGGACTTAACTATGCCCTATTAGTATCTTTTAATGACAGAGGCAGGGAACCATTCTGATTTGCTAAAATCAACATTTCACCTTGGTAGATTTTCAGTTTCTTCTCACATTCAAATTTCTTAAAGTACCTTGGAAATAACTGTTTTAAATAGCCATGAGTTCTTTTTTAGTCTGTAATAATTCCCAGTATTATTCTGTCACTTGAATATAGATAAATCATTTTATTATAATTTTAAAGACTGTTATAAGTGTCATACTACAGAAGAAAAGGAAACATGACTGTTCTTTTTCTATATACACAAATTGACCTCCCTTCTCCTGAGTCACCTCTAAGTTGGACCAATGTTGGGGGACAAACGCAACCTTCAAAAGGACATGTCTATGAGCTATGATACTTATTTGTGAACAAGAGAGTGGGACTTCCTAAGAAAGGTCATGTAACAAATGGAAAGAAAGGTCTTCTCTAGGGACAGTCTTCTCTGTTCACCCTGAACAAACCAGGGGCAGATGGGCATGGACAGCAATAATAAATAACTTCGTTGAAGCATATGCACAGCTCTCCAGTTCTCTATCACATCTTTCCATTTGCAGATATATTAGAGGGTATTTCTGTCTATACTACTGGCTTCTGGTAAAGTTATTAAATACAACCTAATGTTACAAGAACTCATTGTTTATTTAAAAAGAAAAATTACAACACAAAATCTATAAGCATAATCATCAGGGAAATGTGGCTAGCCTGGCTGCTGGAAATATGATTATTACAGATTCATTGATTTAATGTGGGACATAAGAAAAGCAACAGTGACACATTGCTTATTTACAAATTCTGCCTCAACATGAAAATGGTTAAACTTCTCTAATGGGTCCTGCTATTCATTTTATGGAATATTTTTAGAATAATGTAAAAACAAAACTTTCATTCCCTCTGAAACTAATGTATAAGGGCTGGTTGGGTCTTCTGAAGATTAAATGAGCATGTTACATAACTGTGTGGCATAAAGACTACCCAGGATTTAGAACCTGAAGATCTAGGTTTGGGTCTCAGTCACCTGTTTGCTGTCTGACCTGGAATAAGACAGTTAAATCTCTGAAATCTCTGTAAGCTGTCTCCTTATTTGGAATTAAGGATAATAATCTTCCCTAGCTCAAATGCGATAAGTCTATTAGAAAGTACTCTTTAAATGATAAAATTACAAATGCTAGTTCTATTTAGTTGTGGGTTTACTGATCTATAAGATCATAAAACTATATACTTGAAATTCCTATCTAAGTTGCGATACATTGATATTTATTAAATATTTAACATTTTTATACTAAACCACATCTAAGCTCCTGATACCATAAATGCCTTGCCAGATTTACATTATTAATATTCTTGAAGAGATGGTCAAACACATTAACTCCGTGCCCTTTTATTTCCAAAGTATTAAAACACTTGGTTTACCCCTAATTTTGAAATTCAATTATTTTAAAGGAACACATGTTTAGTTCTGACTATTTACAGCTGTTATCTAGCATGTAGGCTTTCCTCTCTCATAAAACTTTAGTTTTACTCAGTTATTTAATTTTTTGGTATATCTCTATTTCTCATAAGTGAGATGAAAGAGGGTCAATGGGAGAAAAATAAAAAGTATAGTCCACTAGAATCCTTTTGGTGCCAGTGGGGAAATGGGAGAAATTTGAAAGTTAACAGTAGACTTCAATTGTCCATTTCAGTATGTTTCATTCAAGTCTCTGCTCAGAATATCATCAGAAAGGTCTTCACTGACCCCACCACCTCACTTCAATTAGTACTTCTCATTCTGATCTCTCTATACAACTTTATTTTTATGGCCCTTGTCTGATATTTTAATTTTATTATTTATCTTTCCATTAAAATGTAAAATCAGTATGATGAGAACTTTGGTCAGAAGTGTGCTCCCGGAAGCTAGTAGAGTCACTAGTAATATGAATGTGTGAATGATTAGATTCATAATATCCAGGACCTCATGATACATGATTAAAGTACAACATAAACTTTTCTTAGTGGCAGGGCATTTTATTTTTTATTTTTTAAAAAAAACTGCAGGGAAGGAGGGGATTTTGATTTTTATTTTTTTAAAGATTTATTTATGTATTTATTTATGCAAGCACTGGATACAGTCAGAAGCGCGGGAGGGTGAGAGAATTCACCAGAGCCAGAGCGGGGAGCAGAACAGGCAGAGTGACGAAGTACACTGCTGAGGGGAGCAGCAGGCGGCAGGAGAGGCAGGAGAGGTTGCGTGCCATGTGGGACCCTCCTCCGGTGGCCGGGGAGTGGCCGGGGAGCAGCCGGGGATCGAACCGGCGCTGCAGAGGCTGCGGGCAGCCTTGCAACCCAGCGCTCAACCGCTGCGAGTGGCAGGGCATTTTAAAAAACATAGTTTCTTTCTTTTCAAGAGAGCTCAGCATCCCAAATTGGTATGTTACTGTTTTGCCAAGAATATACACACAAAGAAACACAAAGCTAGGCAGCTTAAAAGGTTGGAATGGTAAAGAAAGAAAATTTGGAAAGGTAAAAATGCCCACATCATTTTTGTTCTTAAGAAATTAATTTGCATTAAAAATTTTGAATAACTCGCTCAAAAATAAATTTTTAATGTAAAATTATACATATATATTCTAGGTGACAAGAAAAATAAAGGAAGGGGAAAAGTCACTTATAAATTTCCACTTTTTCTGTATAAAAAGAAACATATTTTTTTACATAATTTAAATCAGAATCTAATCCTTCTGGAAGTCAAACTTCTTTCATATGTGATTACTAAGATAAAAAAGAATACTATAGACAGATGATTCAAAAAATTTACATGGAGGTGACATTTGAAGGATCCTCAAACTCTGAAGTTATGCAATTCAAGATTTCCTAGAGACACAAAATAACTATCACTAACAAATACTAAGTCTTTAATTCTAAAGGCTTACATTTTGTTACTTCTTAAAACACATGAATTTCTTAAAAACTTGAAAAATAAAAAATAACTTACCTATTGGATATCCCAACGCAAAGTCATTACTTTGTGTAGCAAATATAGGGAATAGTCCAGCTTTTCTAAATCGACTGTCAGGACTGGCGACCAATAAGGTCAATACACATACAATGAAAAATACAGAAGCTTTGGCAATTAAAATACTATATAGAAAAGACCAATCTACATTGGAAAAATTAAGCACAACCATGTTTTTAAATAACAAAGCTGGAAGTGCAAATCTGGAGACAAAATTTCCCAATCCTTTGGCTTGTGTTGATGTTATGACATTGGCCCTTCCTGCTATGTAGCCACAAAGGACTATGCCAAAGCATTCTAGTAAGGCTGGAAAAAGCCTTGTTATTGACATAGAAGGTGGGTCACCAGTGGAATTAAATCCATATGTTACTGTTGAAGACAATGTCTTGGTCATATTGGATGCCAAGGTTAAGTTCTCTGCAGGTAAATCAGAAAAAGAATTCATTTTCTTTCACCTTCCAACACCAGTCAGATATCTAAAAAGGAAGGAAGAATGATTCAATGTGACAATAAGACAAACAATAAGAATTCTTGTTGAAAAGTTACATTGGTAAACCTAGACTTACTAAATGGCCAGGTAAACATATATACTTCTTCAGTTACCATCAGAGTGAAATACAATATAAAAAAAGGGGGGGTACAGGTAATTGCCTCTCAAAGGTTGATGATCTCAAAATGTTTCTGTTACTGTCCTGTATTCAGAATGTGACACAGAATAATATTCAGAATGAGACACAATTATTACAGCAGCAGTTATGCGCTATGATGCCCAATGATCCACACTTCAGTCCCCTTAGTGGTTAAGAACATGGAGCCCACAGGCAGTCTCTCTTGAATGGCAACCTGTCTCTAAATCCTCATGAAATTTCAGAAATTCTTAGAGTTACATCAAGGAGTCACACTGGACAGAAGGGTCCTTGTCAGTTGTGGTCATACCTGAGTACAGGACAGGAAGAGAGTGCAGCATGGTATCATTTATCATCTTTGAACCAGTAACATAACTTTTCTGTGCTTCACTTTCCTCATCTACGAAATGGCAATAATAGTATCCACATAGGAACTAGAGATTATTCAAGTAAAGTCCATTATAATCACATCTGGCCAAAGTGATTATTTTTTTTTATTTTTATTTTTTATTTTTACATCATTGTTCATTTTTAAACAATATTTGCTTCCCCCACCCTCTCAAGTGTATTCCCCATAGTTTCCTTCACCAGTGCAGCCGTGCACCATCACCTCAGTCCCCTGTGCTCCTCTCTCCCCCCTCTAATCCCTCTCCCTTCTCCTCCCCTGCAGTATGTGTTTGATTTATAATTGTCTGTTTTTGCTTTGTTGTGTTTTGTACTGTTACTATTTTTTTACACTGATGTCTTATTTGGTTTTCCTATATTCCTGCTATAAGTGAAACCATCCAATATTTTTCTTTTTCCTTCTGGCTTATCTGACTGAGCATAATTCCTTCTAGCCTGATCACAAAGATATACAAAAAACTCCCACGGCTCAACAAAAACAAAATAAGCAATCCAGTCAAGAAATGGGCAGAAGAACTTAAAAGACATTTCTCCAAAAAGGAGACACAAATGGCCAACAGGCATATGAAAATATGTTCAACATCTCTGATAATCAGGGAAATGCAAATTAAATTTTTTTAAAGATTTATTTATTTTTATACAAGAGCTGGGGTACAGGCCAGAGGCGCAGGAGGGTGAGAGGATACACCAGAGACAGAGCAGGGAGCAGAACAGGCAGATGACTGAAATACACTGCTGAGGGGAGCAACGGGCGCGACAGGAGAGGTCTGCTTCATCATGTGGGAATCTCCTTGGCCGGCCGGGAATCGAACCCATGCTGCAGAGACTGTGGACAGCTTCACAGCACTGCGCTCAACCCACTAGGCCACAGGGGAGGCCCCAGAAATGCAAATTAAAACCACATTGAGATACAACCTTACACCAATAAGAATGGCACATATCAAAAAAACAAGCAACAACAAATGCTGGTGGGAGTGCAAACTGGTCCAACCACTATGGAAAGCTGTCTGGAGGTTCCTCAGTCTACTAAAAATGGAGCTACCATATGACCCGGCAATTCCACTATTAGGGATCTACCCAAAGGACACAAAAACACTGATTTAAAAGAACACTTATATACCTATGTTTATTGCAGCACTATGTACAATAGGTAAAACCTGGAAACAACCCAAATGCCCAAAAATAGATGACTGGATCAAGAAGATGTGGCATATATACACAATGGAATATTATTCAGCAATCAAAAAAGATAAATTCATGCCATTCACAGCAACAAAGTGATTGCTTAACAAAAGTTAAATATAACTTTTGGTAGAAAATAAGAATGAAAATAAAAATGATGGTATCCCACCTTATAACAGTCTCACATATTAGCCTTATTGAATGCCCCTTAGTCCCTTCATGCTACAGGGACTCTTACATGCAGTTCACTATAAAAATGTGCTTTTGAGGGCCTCCCCAGTGGAGCAGCTGGTAGAGCGCCACACTGTGAAGCTGTCCACAGCCTCTGCAGCACTGGTTCAACTCCCGGCCAGCCAGAGAGAGTCCCACATGGTGCAGCAGACCTCTCCTGTGTCTCCAGCTGCTCCCCTCAGCAGTGCCTTCAGTCCGTCTGCCTGTTCTACTTCCCACTCTCTCTCTGGTGAATCCTCTCACCCTCCTGTGCCTCTGACCTGTACCCCAGCTCTTGTATAATTTTTTTTTTAAATGTGCTGGGCCTCCCCTGTGGCGCAACGTGTTGAGTGCCACATTGCAAAGCTGTCCGCAGCCTCTGCAGTGCTGGTTCAATTCCCGGCCAGCCTGGGAGAATCCCACATGGCGCAGCAGACCTCTCCTGTAGCGCCTGCTGCTCCCCTCAGCAGTATATTTCGGTCGTCTGCCTGTTCTGCTCCCTGCTCTGTCTCTGGTGAATCTTCTCACCCTCCCCCGCATCTGGCCTGTACCCCGGTTCTTGTATAAAAATAAATAAATCTTTTAAAAAAAGTGCTTTTGTCTCCTCATCATATGCTACTCTCTACATAATAACACTTATTCACCTTCTACATTATATAGTTCAGGAGTCATTTTATTGTGTGAGGTTTCTCTGACCCCACTTTTAGTGCCACAGAAGTAGGGACTACGCATGATTTTGCTCATTGTTGTGTCCCTAATATGTGTATGTGTGTATACATGTGTGTGTGTATCTTTTTAACATATGACTAAATAACCTGCTCTGAAATAAGCCCTTTACCCTTTAGTGGAGCCATGTTCTCTTTTAGGAACTATCTAGTTCATGAACAGAAATCTCTTTTTTTTGAATGATAAAGTATTCTAGTTTCTTATTAAAGTTTCTTACTAAAGCAACAGCCCAAGATGACAAAATGGGTACTAACATGTTCTAAAGCTACTTATAAAATATGTTGTGAAATGTTTTATAGATGGTCAGAAAAACATTACACTGCTTATCAGACTCCTTTTTTATTGCCAGGGACACAATGTTCTGCAACTAATCATCTTTTGTTGTTGCTGTATACAAGCTAATCAATTTATTATAAGCAAGCAGTCATCCAAATAGTGGGGCTTCCATACAACTCAACAAAAAGAAAACTAATAACCCAATCAGTAAATGGGGAGAAGAACTAAATAGGCACTTCTCCAAAGAAGATATGCAAATGGCCAACAATCATATGAAAAAAATTTTCGCCATTACTTATCATTAGGGAAATGCCAAAGAAAGCTACAATGAGATATCAACTCACACCTGTGAGAATGGCTCATATCAAAAAAAAAAGAAAACCCAGAAACCTCTTACACTGTTGGTGGGGAAGTAGACTGACCCAACCTTTGTGGGAAAAAGTATAGATGTTCCCCAAAACACTAATAATGGATCTATAATATCACCCAGCAATTCCATTCCTAGGCTTCTACCCAAAGAACACAAAAACACTAATTCAAAAGGAACCCTGCACTCCGATGTTTAGTGCAGTAGTATTAACAAGTGCCAAGATATGGAAACAACCTAAATGCCTCACAACAGATGAATGGATCAAGAAGATGTGGTATATATACACAATGGAATATTATTCAGCGATCATAAAAGATAAACTAATGCCATTTGTGGCAACATGGATGGAAGTAGAAGGGATTATCTAAGCGAAGTAAGCCGGAAGGAGAAAAACAGTGGATAGTTTCATTTATATGTGTACTACAGAGAAACCACAAAGGATCAGATAAAAACAAACTTTAAGGGGCCTCCCTGGTGGCACAGGGGTTAAGCACCATATTATGAAGCAATTCCCAGCCTCTGCAGCACAAGTTCGATGCCCCGCCTGCCAGGGAGCAACCCACATGGCACAGCAGACCTCTCCTGTCTCGCCCGCCGCTCCCCTCATCGGTGTGTTTCAGTCAGTCTGCCTGTCCTGTTCCCAACTCTGTCTCTGGTGAATCCTCTCACCCCATCCCACCCCTGCATCTCTGGCCTGAACCCCCAGCTATTGTATGCATAAATAAATAAATCTTTAAAAAAAAAAAACAACTTTAAAATTGACTCTTGAAAGCTGACCACAGATCTGAGGCATCCAGAAGGGAAAGGGGAGGAAGATGGAGAGGGGAGAAAACAAAGAGGGAGGAGAGCACAAAGGACTGTGGTGGAGGACTATGATTGCTTTGGTGGTGGGAAAACTACGGTGACCACGCACCTGAGGGGAGAAATTCTATACTGTGAAAAATCAAACAAGGATGTAAAATAATATGCCATTAATTAAAAATAAAAATAAAAACAAAAAGCAAATGGTAGAGCTTCTACTGGTCTTTCAATTCCTTCGGCTTCTAATGACAGACTTTACTGTGATGGCAGCAGTGGGGTTGTAGGTCCAGGTACCACCAGCTACCGTTTTCATGCAGGAACCACAGTGCCAGATCTCCAATGGCTCCACCTTGATTTTGCCACAGAAGGAGCAAGTGTACTTGGCATGTTGGCTGATTTCAATATTCTTTGCCATTTTCCTGAGGGAAGCACCATAACAGGTCTTGTATTTATTGACAATTCCAACCGTCTCAGTGTGGTTAGCCACAAACTCAGTCTGAGCTCAGAAAGCCTATTCTGCTTTTATTAGTGATTTGAAATTAATTAACTAATTGCTAAGTTCTAAGTGATTATTCTGGGTTAACCATCTAAAATGATTTTATGTAAGGTAAAAATTGAAAAAGCTCATGCTTCTTACTATTTACAATAATGAAGTTAAATTCTCAAACACCCACATCACATTAAAAAACACTCAGATGGCATAGCAGAGACTGGCAACAACTGATATGTGGGGGTGTGGATGAGATAATTTTCTCTGTGCTACCCCTAGTATAAACTGAACCATTTTAAAACCTTATATTTAATCTGGATTAAATATTTTTCTACCAGGATTAGGTAGGAGTGGTCAAAATACACAAAACCTACAATATTCGCATACTTGAAGTTTATCAAATAAGCATCAAATTATATCCTGGGAAAGCTACATTGGTATAGGTACCCATAGTTGAAATAAGGAGCCAATGAACAATAAACAAAGGGTAAAATGTTTTGAGCTCTAAGGGGGGCAGGGATAAATATTAAAGTAATAAACTACTCTAATTCCCTGTTATTTTTTTAAAATTCCCTATATTTGCCAGGTACAACTTATACTATTAATAACTCCTTATTTGCATTACACTTGCAACTCAATGAATTCCAATAATTTTTTTAACCAGCAGTGGTTGTTCAGGTAAAAGAGTCAAACAGATCTTAACCCAGTTTGGGGCCTTACTGCTTATCAACTCTTTCACAAGAGTTAGCCTCCCTGAATCTTAGCTTCCTCAAATGTAAAATGAGAGTAAACTCCCACTTACGATGGGGATAGTGTGAGAATTAGAGATTTCATACACAGCATATTGCTATAGCTTATCACAGAGTAGGTCTTCAAGAAATGGTACCAGTTACCAGTTGCAATTTTGAGTTGTAATTCTGATTATAATAACAATGTAACATTAAAAACAATTCATTGTCCTATGCTAGTTCTTCAAACATAGGTGGTATTGAAGATTCACCAACTAAAACAGAGGGTCAAAAGTTTTTGCTTTATACTAAATAGTTAAGAGGAATTCCATTTAATTAGTTTGATCTCAAATAGCTGTCAGCAGGGAAAGGAAGACTCTTCATTTTGGTTGAGGTGATGGCTAAGTAGTTGTAAAAATGCCCAGGTTTAAACTTTCAATTAGTTGAAAAATCAAGAGAAAACTTTGAAAAGTAACGTGCCCCTTCCCATGAAGTTTCTTTTAATGTTCCTCAAAATGTTGAAAAAAGCAGTATCTGCTAATTGAGAGGAAATCAAAATAATCAAAAAGGACATAATAAAGTTTCATCTCATCTTAACCTTTTTCCCTCCCAGTGGGAGGAAAATATGCTTTCTAAAGCATTCTTTTATAATGAACAGGAACCAAGCAAGGGAAGTTTTAAAAAAAAATAGTATCCAGTCTTTTCATCTAGTTAAAAACAAGTTTTGTTACAGAACAAACAAGTTGACCTGAGACTGTAAAAGGGACCGCTCACCAGGTCCTGGAGTCGGGAAATGTTACACACAAGCCACTTCTGGTCACTGCATAGGTGATTCAGATAACATCATGGACCCACTGAAACTGTAAACAACTATTAAGTGAAAATGGGAAGAAGGTTCTGATTAACTTCAAAGATAAAGCTTTAAACTCAGGGTGTCTGTTTCACAAACACCCAATAGCCTTATCCCAAAGGGAAAGCACAGTACAACGAGGTACAATTAAAGCACTCTTCCACATCATCCACCACCCACCCACTCCCACCTACTAGCAGGGGACCAAATGTCCTCCCTGAAGACCCAAATGTAAAATGAGAGTAAGCTGGGGAGTGCTGAGCACTGCGTCCTTCCTCCGCTGGCAGCGACAGACTTTGTCCCTTCAAGATAAGGGTATGGAGAGTCTCTAAACAAATATGCCGCCCAGAGAGCTGCTGCCACCCAATGCCTGGGCTAGCAGCAGTGGAAATGGAAAAACAGCCGGGGGTGTTGCTGGGATTTAAAAAAAAAAAAAGTTGGTCGTTCAGCTTCCACAGGGCATAAGAATCACAATCCCATGGAAACTGAGATGCTCCAAAAAAGAGTAAGGGTGAAAATTTGATCACCACTCCGTGTATCTTGGGAGCAGCTCCCAGGATGCGCAGATACTGAGGCCAACCCGGGATAAATGGAAGAACCTGAGAAGTCAGGGTGTACGCACGTGCAATGAGGGACTCCTTAAATTGGGGGGTGGTAATTCTATCACCAGAGGGGAGAAGTCGCCCCTTCCCCCAGCTCAAGCCTTCCCCTGTGGTCCCAAAAGCCGGCGGCGCCTGGCAGAGGAGGACAGGTGCAGGCAGCGGGCTGCGGGCTTGGGCGCCACCGGCTGGCGCTGCCCACCTGTCCAGACCCGAGGGGACGAGGCACTGGGGACCATCAAGGCCGAGCCAAGATCCCGCAGGTCGGCGCCCCTGAGGTGCATCTCACCTGCTACGTCTGCAGCCCCGGGGCCGCGAGGAGAAGGGAATCGGTGCGTGCGGTGGGTCAAGCAGGGAGGAATTCACAGTCATCTCCCACCCCAGCCCTCCTAGCCGGCTCAGTCACGATCGGAGAAAGTGAGGTGCGGGTAAGTCAAGGCCTGGTCAGCTCCTCCCCTGCTCGCCGCGGAGCCCCGCCCCCGCCCCGCCTTCAGGCCCGCCCAGGTCGGGAACCACCCGGCCACCAGGCCCCGGCCCCGCCCACCGGCCCCGCCCCCGCCTCTGGCCTCCAAGCTGCACAGTCCGGGTACCGCCCCCGGTCGGGAGCCTCCGGGCAGGGTCTCGTCTTCATGCCCGCCCACCACCTCGAGCCGGGAAGCCGCACGGCCCCCAGCCCCGCCCTCGGGCTCCGCCCCCGACCCCCGAGGGGCAGACGCACTCGGTGCCCGACCCCGCCCCGCAGAGTGCGGGCCGCCCATCATGTAGCTGGGGGCGGTGGGACTTCCGGCACTCTGCGCCCGCAAAATGGCCGCCGCCGCCGGGGCCTTCCAGCCTCGTTCTCCTTTCTAAGCTCGAGTATAGAGGCTTTCGTCTTTCTGTCTACCCGGGCCTTCTGTCACTCCTTTCTTAGCCTGGTTATTTTTATAGCAGAGTTTAAAAGCAACGACTTAGAGTCAAACCTAGTTCAGAATCCTGCCTTTCCTCAGGCAGTGTGACCTTGACCTTTCTAATCACATTAAAATGTCTGAAACGTCAGCCCCGTGCTTGGAAGTTGTACGCAGAGCCTTAGTGTACCGAGAAGAAACTGGTTGTATTGGTAGAAAACTTCCAAAGCTGCTTGAAATGAGGGATTACAAATGTAGAGCTTCCTTTTGAAATCTGAAGAAACCCTGTGTTTGAATTGGTCTTTAGGAATCAAAAATTATTTCAAATTTAAATATATTTAGAACTAGGCTCTATATGTCTTATCGCCAAACGCATCTGTACTTTGTAAAACCTGTTTTGCTTTTTATCTTTTCTGATGTTAACTGGAATAAAAGTCTCATAGTTTAAAAAAAAAAAAAGAGTAAGCAGTCAGACAGATTTTACTCTGTGAGAACTGTTCCAAAAATCACAGCTAGAATTTAGTTTATATTGGTTGGAGCAATAGGTCATTGACATTAAGAATTAATTATTTTTGAAGGGAGCTTCTGGTTCTGAGTTTTTTGACCTAATGCTATCTATGTGCAGAGGAAAGCAATGCTGGGGTTTAATCTCTTATTGTCTAAGAAGTGCGCTGTGGAGATATAAAGGATGGGTACCCATTGTTAAATCTTTATCCAGTTCCTTAGTCGTTAGTGGAGGTTGAAAAGACTGGCTTTACCGGAAGGCAGCATATTTTGCATAACTTTCATAGACTGCAAGTCTATGAATATGGCAAGGAGGGGCTCTCAGAAAGTTCTACAGCAACATCAGTGTCCTCTTGGCAGTTTTGGTGCTGTCAGGGAGGAGGAAAGGGTGATTCTTCCTTTTCCCTTTCTGTCATAGGCTGGCAAATTGTCAAATTATCATCACACAGATTGACGAGAAAAAAAGTTAAAAACTTAATATGTATACCTCCTGTATATATGGGAGATACCAGTAAAAACCAAAATGGCTTGTCACCTTTTTAAATAACTTAAGACAAAGGATGGTGGGGGTGGAGGTGGGAGAAGATCAGTTTTGAGACATTTTTAGGAAAGGTACATTAAACAAGGCCATGACTATTATGCAGATTTAAGTTGCTGCCTCCCTTACTGAATTAGAGATATTTGGTTTTTCTGGTATAGAGAGACACCCTTATAAATGGAGATTTTCCTTTATACATATGCATGTCTTTTACTAAAGGGCAACCTCCAACCTGTTTTAGAGCCCCTCCTATGGCATAATCCTAATCCCAAAGAGACATATTATAGGCAAATTTTGCTCCCTTACAGTACAAAGATGCAAAAACATATGACTGAACTTGAAAAATCATGGCAAGTTAAGAGTAGTTTAAAGTATCTGAAAACCAAGCACTAGAAAAATGAGCAGGAACTGAAACTATAGAAAGGTCACACATTTTGCTCCTATTCCACTCACCTTTGGTTTCTATCTTTCTCACTTTTAACTGCCTTCCTTGTATTAAAAATTTAGAAAATGACGGTTTCCAAAAGAGGTTCTTGTGCTAAGCCCACCAAGATGTAATATCTAACCTAACTGCAGTTTCAGCCTTCCCCAGGAATATAGTCCTAATGGACCAGTAGGGAATTTTCTGGTCAGCACCAATGAGGCAATCTTTTACATTCTCTAGTGGAAAATGAGAAAATCTGCCACAAAACACTTACCCATTCTGTTACAAGGCAGCCCCAAAATAAAACTGGCTTGATGGCTTTGGTTTGGAGTGGGGGTGGAGTCCACAAAGCCTGTATGGAATTAGCTCAGGACATCCTTTCCCCCTGACAATATAGGTAGATTACCTGGGTCTGAAATAATTCCCTCTCCTCTTACCTAGTCTGTCGATGATAGTAAAGTCTGGTCAACCAGGTTACAGCTGCAGAGTGACAGTTCTTGTTTATAGCTTGAGTATTACAGCAGAGGTATCACAACTCAAGTGTTAAAGTTTGAGTATTACAGCAATAATTAGGGACTTCTGAACTGTAGTCCCCGGGATATAAACTCAAGTAGCACTTGAGCTGAATTCAGCCCAAATTGCTCTAAGTGGAGCATGCTTCTGTAGGCAAAAGAGATAGAGCTAGTTTCGCTTTCAGGGTAAGTTTTTCAGTCAGTGCAGTTGCAATTGGTGGAAAGTTTGTGAAGCAATGCTAGACTGAATTTCAATCCTGGGCATGGATTGCCACTGTGGTTTCATTTCTTCTTGACTGTGGACCCATCTGCATGTGCCCCAACATGCCAGGGCCCCCCTGGATGTGCCTGGGATCTAACCCTCAACTACCTCTTGGCTCTGTTTTGTTGTTACTGAGACTTGGAATAACTCCATGTTCATTTTTCTTTTTTACTTTATTTACAATGTTTTCTTTCTGCCCATAAAACCTTTTATTTTGTACAGTTTTTTTGAGCATCTTCCTTCTATCTAGATTCATGAATCATTTAATAAAGCGAATTAGATGTTTAAAGTTAACTGGTTGTGTGGTCCAGTTTTGGCGGTGCTGGATTTGGGGGTTTTTTGGTCCTTGACTATGGTGGGAGAAGAATTCATCGCCACATCTTTTTTTTTTCTTCCAAGATTCACCCATTTATGCATACAAGACCTGGGGTACAGGCCAGAGAAGCAAGGGTGGGGGTGGGGTGAGAGGATTCACCAGAGACAGAGTAGGGAACTGAACAGGCAGACTGACCAAAATACACTGCAGAGGTGAGCAGTGGGCGAGGCAGGAGAGGTCTGTTGCGCCATGTGGGTTCCTCCCTGGCTGGCCAGGGATCGAACTCGTGCTGCAGAGGCTGTGGATTGCTTCATAGTGTGGTGCTTAACCCCTTTCGCCACCAAGGAGGCCCCATAGCCACATCTTTAGCAGAAACAAAAGCAAAGTTTATTTAGAGACAGAATGAAATTACTCCAAGAAAGAGATCTGGGCAGAAATTCCTGGGGAGAATAACCGCGAGGGGAGAGAGAGGAGCTCTTCTCTTAAATGGGGCATAGGAGTTAGTTGCTCACTCTGTCCCTTCCTGGGGTATACTGCACAGGTGCCACCAGTGTTTTGGTTTATTTGTCCAAGTCACTCACCCTTCTCCTGTGTTCCTGGGCTGCAGGTTTTATCAGAAGGCCCCAGGTTTGGGTGGTGTCAGCCAGCCCTACCCTTCCATTGGGAGGGAAAGAACTCAGAGGCATTGTTTCACTGCCCAGAGAGAGACCTGACAATTCCCAAGAAATCCCCCCTCTAGGTAGCTTCTTGCTGTCCTCTGGCTTTATCTACCTGCCTGTGGGTTGAGGTGGGGGCTGCCTTTTTCCCCACTCAGTGTTTCTTGCCTCTCCCTGGGCTTTATCAGCTCTGACAAGTGTTTCCTGGGGTCCTGGGTAAGCTGGCAGCTTAATTTTCTCTAGGCATGGCCTTCCCTGCTCTAAATGTCTAACACTTGGATTTTTGTTATTTAACAGTAGTTTCTCTTGAACCTGGGCACTTTAAAAAACAAAACAAAATGGATATATTATATCTAGGCTAAAAAGGATTTCTATTTAGAAAATATGAAGATTCATTCAAATATATACTAATAGACCACTGACTTTTAGGGGAATACTGGAAAATGGGTTTGAAAAGGTAATTGTAGGGCCTCCCTGGTGGCACAAGAGATTAAGACACAGCACTATGAAGCAATCCGCAGCCACTGCAGCACGAGTTCGATTCCTGGCCAGGGAGGTGACCCACATGGCACAGCAGATCTCTCCTGACTCACCCACTGCTCCCCTCAGCAGTGTATTTCAGTAGATCTGCCTGTTCTGTTCCCCACTCTGTCTCTGGTGAATCCTCTCATCCCCCACACCTCTGGCCTACACCCCAGTTCTTTTATGCATAAATAAATAAAATAAATCTTTAAAAAAAAAAGGGGGGGGGAGAATTGATGGAACTAGACTACTGGTAGGGCTAAAGAAGATGGAGGTGATAATAAACCTATGTATTTTCTTACCCATGAAGTAAAGAAAAGGAATTGCGCCTAACATGACTTTCTAAATTCTCAAATTCCATTATTTTCTATTAATCTATTGTCTAAAGATGAAAGGAAGAAATGTTTTAAATGAGAAAGCAGTTATAAGAAGACAATGAATTGGTTTTAAGTTAAAATCTAAAACCTTGAGAAATTATCTAGTTCAGTTTCCTGTCCTGAAGAAGTTACTATCATTCCATCTGAGATCCTAGAGATTAAGTGATTGGCCTAAGAATACCCAGCAAGGTGGTTTATAAGAATGGGAATAAAAGTGCTCCACTGTTCTTTGAAATAACTGCTCATGAAGGTATCAGTACCTGTAAGTAGATATTTTTGGTAGTACCTCCAGAGAAAAGAGAATCTCAAGAAAAAGAAAGATCAGAGATGAAACATGGTTTGGAGATATCTTAATGGAGCGGATGAGTTTTCTGAGAAGACAATCTGTGGGGAAAATTTGAGGAACTAAGTGAATACAAAGATGAAAGACTTGATTAAAAAGTCATCCT